TGTAGCCCCAATGAAACCCCCCCAAAAAAAAACAGCCATGTAGCAAAAAGTCAATCTGATTGACTGTCAAATCTAAATACTGATGTGGTTTGATTATTGAAATAAACTCTACCAGCTAATCAGGTTGAGTTTTGATTAATACATCCTTTGCTTGGTTCCTGTCTGCTGAATATACATAGTTTAAGCGGTGCCATTTATAAATTCCCTTATCTGTGGTCTAAATGGAAATGCTAGAAGTCTAGAACTTCTTTGTTATCCGCACTGTTTTATGGCTTGGTATTTCTTGCAGTTATTTGATGGGAAGGAAGGAAGGCCAAAGTATCCACGGCGATGGGTGATACTACCTCCTTTCCTGTGAGTATGGGGAAGCTACTGTAAGATGGTCTTTGCTAGAAGATTCCAAACTCAACAGCATTATGTTGCAACTGTTGAAGACCCTAAAAGGAGATCAATCTATCACATTTCTTTCAGCTGAATTAGATTCTCTCTTAGTCTCTGCTCTTTGGGCTGTATATTGAATATTTCAAATTAGAAAATGTGGTTCATTGGTTTCGTTCTTGTTTTACAGTTTGTTTTTTGGGAAACTGAAACTGAAGTTTAGTGGATTGCCTTTTTGACATCCTTTGATGCATTATGATGAAGATGAGCACTAATTTTCAACTCTTCTTTCCTATGTTGAAGACTTGATCAATTACCTTAGTTTAAATGAGTTGGAAGCTAGGCCAAGTGGTGATAGTTACCAAAACTCGAGTTATATCAATTTAGGTCAATTTTTGGTTTGGTCAGTTGGTTCAAAAGATTTAAATTTAAATTAAAAAATACAGTGGTATTATTAAAAATAAATTTAAAACTTAAATTTATGATATAAAATATTTTAATTAAAAAATATGGGAATTTTCCTACTTCCTGTATTAAAAAGATTATATTAAAAATATAAAATATTAATATATACATACATACATATACCTGGTTAGGTTGGGAAATTTTTAAGTAAAGCCGACCAAAAATACTATAAAACTGACTAACTCGAGTTGAGTTGGTTGCTTTCATTAGTTTGATGAACAATTCTGGCTGAAAGTAATTATTATTATTATTTTTGTATTGTAAAAAAATATTAAAAGTAGTATATAAAATATAAATAAGTATTAATTATTTAACAAGTTAAAAATATAAAATGATTGTATACTCTTATGTATTTCAATTGTTTAGCTTTTGCTTAACAAATATCATGCATTGCACGGGTCTCCGCTAGTTAACTCTAGAAAACTAAATGAAACAAGGGCATATAAAAAGCTAATGGATTTTAAGGAAAATCTATAATACCTGAAAGATATGATTACAGAAGATCAAACAAAGAAAAACCTTGGTCATTGGGGCCAACATCCTGGGCTGTTGAGAATGTGTTTGGACATGACAAGTTACCATGGGTGGGGGCAAAAGAGTAATTGCCCTCAATATTCAGTCTGACCAAAAAGACAAGGAAGGAACCATTACAAAGAATTTAATATGACCTTTGTCATGCCGAAAAAGATATCAGCTTCAGTCAGTGCAACGTCTGTTCCAACAGCTTTTACAGCCTTGTGTCGGGAATATCTACATACTAATGAGCTTTTATTTCATAGTGAGATATTCCTTATACAAGGCTGCAAGAGAGTGTTCGAATAGTGTTAGCATGGACTTGCATTGACTGAAGCCGAATTTGCCCAAAAATAGGAATGGCAACGGGATAGATTTGGGGCAGTGACCATACTCTTATCCCTGTTAGAGACAAAAATAACCCTCCATCCCTAATTCTGGATGACCTAAATCCCTGAAATTTTTAAATTAAAAGATTTCTATAAAACGGATTTACTTAGAATAAGAGAAATTTTTAAAAATATAAAAATGTTTTAAATATATTTTGATATATATATATAATATAAATAATATAACTTATACAATAAATAATTGTATCCGATGCATGTGTCAGTATGTGTTAAAGATTTGCCAAACAAGCCCCAAAGTCTTGGAGCCATCCCAAAAAAAAAAATCTACTGGTCATCTGGTGAGTGGTGAGGAGAAAGCACCTTGTCCAATAGTCCAAGGCATCTCCATTCTCCAGTGTCATGAAACAAGATTGTATCATACGGGCACTTTGACAATGTGCATCAAAAGTCAGAACCAAAGGTTTACCGGGGCAAGTTGTCATTAAAATTAACGAAGAACCGAGCTTACTGAACCATGAAATGGTGTGAACTTTCTAATTCGATATTTCGATGGTTACTGTAATAAAATAAATAGATGTATTTATTTGTAATAGTCAGTAATTACTGTTATTATAAATAACAGTAATTATTTATAATTGGTAATGTCAGTAGTTAAAGGAAAATACTGTCCTTACTACAGACCTGGGTTGCTCCCACGTGGAATTTATTCGCTCATTTTTTGTACACAGAGAACACCCATTTCCTATTTCATTTCTATCAAACCAAACAGAGCCTTGGGGTTTAGCCTTCAAAATATGGCTAAAAAAAATCTAAAAGCTGCGTTGTTTGCAGTCTAATATAAACTATACACCTTGTTCAGTTTTACTTTTGTTTGCAACTATGATTTGCACTCTTATTTAATATAAAATTTATATATTTTTTGTCACATTTGCATTCATCGTTAGTGTAAAATGTTGCATCTCAAAATCTGATAGCAAAACTAATACCACTTTTGTCTACCTCAATTCTTTCTCATATAAACTGCCCATCACATCATCTTGCTTTTTACCTCACTCCCAAACACAAATAACCCTCTTCCTCTCTCCATTCTCTTTGCATATAAGGTGAGGATAGATCATTTTACTTATTGTTTTTTTTACTTTTCACAAACAAGAAGATCAATATATTAGCAAAGAATGCATTACCATGCAATTACACCCATTTTATTTGCACTCCCATGCATTTGCACCACAACAAATTTTAACCAAATGCAATTAAAAGCAGAATACAATGTGTTCCAATGTTGCTAGGTTAATTTGTAGAAAATGATTATTAGGTTTCAAAAGTAAGCAAGGTGGGGGGTATACTATATATAAAAGTGTGGATGCAATGCGAAATTTTTTTGGACTAAAATTACCCTTTATTTCTTTGTTTGACAAAGGGTATGAAGGTTATTTTATTACAACTTTTGTTGTTACTAAAATGCCTATATTTGTGTATTTGTTTTTTTGGATTTTGAGATGGGAGAAAGTTGGTCAATGGACCAATAAACCCATGTTCTTTTTTTAGATTTATGTGGAGACCAATGAAAGATTATTTTCTTGGGGACTCGTAGATGGGGTGGGGGGAGTTGCCAACACTTGAATGGGACAAAAAATGCCCCTTTTAATAATGAATTTTTATGGCTAAAGTGACCATTACCTTATTTACATTGGAAATAAAAGAACATGGGTAAATGTACTTACCTAGATAAATGTTTCCCGGGTAAGTAACTTACCGAAAAGCAAATAGGGCCTTAGTTTATTTCTAATTGTAAGTGTTGAAAATGCAAATTCAATTATTACTTTTCACCCCATTTAATCACATATCATTATTAAACCTCATTTTCTCTTATTAAATCCTATATTTGAGTTATTTTTTACTAATAAATGCTACTAATTAGATCTATATCAATATTTTTAATAATATAAACCCATATGTTTTACAAATGACTAAAAAACAAAATCATTCTTTATCCAAGTGGTGACTAAGCAATTCAACCATGTGAATCAAATTGATCAATTTATGAAGTCATAGTTAGGTAATAAAAATTTAAAATAGAAATAAGTATATAAAATTATAAAAATATAAAAAAAGTAGACACGTCTATGATATTTTTATTAACCAAAATTAAAAAATAAGTGTAATAAACAAGATATATTTTTATTGACAATGGAATATAAAATTTAATAATGAATAGTTCAACTTTTGAGTTAAATGTGTTAACCTTTGATGTCATAAATAAATAATAAAAATTAATAAATATAAAACTATAAAAAATAAAAAATGCATTATTTTTGCAGAAAAAAAAAACATTTGGGCATATGTATAATATTATATATTTATCATATTAAATAAAAAGTAAGTGTGATATATCAACATTATTTTTTATACGCAAAAAAACAATAAAAATTATAACAAAAATTGAACACATCTATAATTCTATATTTACACTACTATTGAAAATATAAATAAGGTTGTGAAACTTTATTTTGACTAAAATAATCATTTTTGAAATTTAGTCCCTCTACTTAAGTTTTACATTTTTTTGATAAATGAACAAAAGAAAAAAAATACACCAAAAAGATAAACATTACAAAAAAAAATAAATCTAGCCAAGCAGGTAGACTTGTTAATAATACTTGAAACTCTACAACTTTGTTATAATTATTACATATTTGGATGAAATATTTATATAATCAAATTTAGATTTTACAATATGCATCCACTTAAAAATAGAAAATAAAAAATACATAAAATCTATAAAAAAATTGATATATTATTATCATTATTTAAATTTGTGACGTGTACAATTACTACTCTATAAAATGATTGATCATAATTTCCAATGAGGATAAGAAAGCCGGCCCGGCAACGGCAAGAAAGTGAGAAACAGAGAGACAGGATATGGAAAGGGCACATGGCAATAAACCACGCAAGGTATTATGATTTCACGATTTCACGAGGCCAAAGTGTGAAAACTGGAGATCTCGGAAAGGGTTTCGCGCCACGTGTGGCATGCATCTCTTTTGCGTTTTAATACAGCATATTAAAGCTGGAATCAGAGCAGTCCATTCGAACAGCCATCATAGCCTTGCATTGAGAATATTATGAAATAAAGCATAGAAGTACAGAAATATTCTCGATGTAAGGCTATAAAGGCTGTTCGAACGGACTTTGCTCTGACCGAAGGAATAAAGATACAAGTCTCTCTCTCTCCCCCTGATTTTCCAGTGACGCGGCCTCTTCTCTATCGCTTCAAAGCTGACCAAACATTAGCCTTAAAAACTCTCAACTCCACATTTTATTTCTTTTCCTTCCTTGCCTCCTATTCGCTACTCTCTCTCGTGTTTTCTAAGTAAGATGGATATACACAGTGTGCCACCTCAGCTTTCCTCTGTCTCTTTTTTACTTTATTTTCCCCTCCCTCTCTTTCTCTCTGGTCTCAAACCAGTCCTCTCCACCCGCCCAAAACAATCCCACCATTCTCAGCCACCGGCGGAGTCAGCCCGCGGTTTCAGTAAATAAACCAACCCATCGTTGATAACAAGTTCAGGAAGCAGAAAAAAAAGGATAAAAAAATCTGGGACGACGGAAGAAGCTTCAGAATTTTCAAATCCCACTCGCTCGCTTGGCTATCTATTCTACCGTCCGGTTACACTTTCTTATTCCAACTCGATCAAGTGCCCGGGTGAAGATGCTAACATGAGCACCCTTTAATGATTCGCAATAGGTTTTTCTTTCTCCTCCCTCAGTTGATCTGATATTGCTGTTTGTTTTTCTTCTTCTTGGTTTCTCTTCTCTTGATATTGCTGCTATTTTGTTTCTCCTCCTTTTCCGATAAAACGGTTTCCGGCACTAAAACTATTACTAGATTTGGAATTGTCGGTTAGTCGTCTTACATCTCTGACTACTACCGTGTATGCATTTATTTATATTTTTCTCTTGCTGTTTTTGGATTAGATATAACGTGCCCAACCATGTATACAGGATAATACCGACAACTATTCCATTCTCGCGCTCCTTCAAGAATTAGGTTTTGTTTTCCGAGGGACGCAAAACATTTTAAGCCAAACCTCTGCGCTTTGATCTTTAGTTGCGAATGGAGACGTCGTCGGTGATCGGTACAGTAGAAGATGAAGAAACCCTAATCTGTTCCTCTCCTTCAGACTATTAAAAAAGCTAGAACTAGAGTCTTTGGGAGGATGAAAAGATTTGATCAGGTTCTGCTGGATCTAGTTTTAGTGAAACGAAGAAGGGCGACGACCTTTGTGCCCCTTTTTCGTGCTTGTAAAGTTTATTAACGGTGTCCAATTGGGGTGGGGCGCCGGGGGGGGGGGACTTTGTCTTAATTGGAGTTTGCGGCAATACTCTATGGTGGTCGTTAATGGCTGATGTGAGAATTTGATTTTTGTTGATTCCATCGAATTGCATTGCCATGGATTGTCAAGAGGATGATATACTGAACAAAGGCGACGGTAGTAATAACATCAATAAGAATCCCTTTCTCGATCGCAGCAAAGTAAGGATTCTTTTGTGTGATAATGATGCTAAGAACTCTGAAGAGGTCTTTGCACTTCTGTGCAAGTGCTCCTACCAAGGTATATTTTTCTTTTTGTGCACTATTCGCTTGTATCGCCCCTTATTTATGGGAACTATCTTCTTCTTAGCCTGGACTTGATTACTTTCTTTTCTTTTTCTTTCTGAACCAAAGTTGATTGTTCTTTCAAACTCGATAACTTTCAATTTTGTTGGCATTATTAGGGACTTATTGTTATCGGATTAAATTACTGAAAAAATTGTAATTTGGTTAGAAAATAATGGCAAGATTTTATTTGGTAAAGACGGGTGAGCACAATATATATTTACTTTCTTTATTCTTATTAATTATCTACCCTTTTGTGTAAATTGTGAAGCTCACAAATATCTACAACTAGAGGAAGAGAATCAGAATTTAGATTGTATAAGACATTGCAAGGGGTTGACTTATTTAAGTGCTATATCTTTTTCCAAATGTAGAAAAGGGGCTTGAATCCCTGTACCCAAGGAGCTTTTACTCAACTATATATTATTTTTTTTTTTGCATTCCTAGTACCTTACAGGTGGTTTGGTGCTTTAGACAATTGCGTCCTTGGCTCTAATTCGAAGCTTGTGTATCCTTAGAGAAATTTTACCGAGAGCAAGTCTGCACTGCCAATCTTTTCCAACATTGGGAATTTGGTTTTCTTGCTGTTCTCGTTTTCTTTTCTATATGAGAGAAAGGTTTTCCCTTTCTCCTTATTTTTGTCATTTTAAGAGTGCTTTGTATGTTACTTATCAGTGGGTCAGATCTCCACATTCCTTTTATCTTTTGCTTAATATACTTGAAACTACATGAGACAATGAGAAACTTATGTACTGACTATGAGTATCCATCACTTTACAGTAACTAAAGTGAGGTCACCACGCCAGGTGATTGATGCACTAAATGCAGAGGGGCCTGATATAGATATAATACTTTCTGAAGTTGACCTCCCAATATCCAAAGGCTTGAAGATGTTGAAATACATTATGCGGAATAATGAGTTGCGGCACATTCCCATCATCAGTAAGCTTCTTTCCTTGTTATTTCCATGCCATTTTTCTTCTCAAGTTAGACTGTAGGCTGATCCTCATTGTTCTCTTTCTTTTCTTTTTCTTAGTGATGTCTGCCCAAGATGAGGTTTCCATTGTCATCAAGTGCTTAAGGCTTGGAGCAGCTGATTATCTTGTGAAACCATTACGTACTAATGAACTACTAAATTTGTGGACTCACATGTGGAGAAGACGACACATGGTTTGAAACATTATACCTGAGCAATTTGCTATTCCGTTGGTCTTTTTCTGCTGTTAAATTTCCAAGTTATATTGTTATGCAAGGAAAAGATCTAAGGTTCCTTCCCATGAACAACATACTGATACAAGTACATGTAGAGCATGTGCAGGGATCAGTACCCACCATTAGCTGAGTCCTTCCTTGTAGATCTTTGCTAAATATTAGTGCTATTATAAATTGTTAATATTTCTGTTGTTTACATTTTATCTAGTGCCTATAATCATATATTTATTGCATCCTCTGAGCCATTGAAAACAAGGAACTGGCAATCAAAAAGTAAAACAAAATAGTGAGCAAATTTTACAAGGATGGGGTCTGTTGGCTGCATATTCCACCTCCCTGGATATGTTCCCTGTATTGCATTAGTAACCTTACATGGAATTTAACTAATGGATGAACCTTGTCCATTCAAAAGGATATTAAGAGATGAATTGTGATTTTCATTTGGGTTTTCAGCTTGGTCTGGTGGAAAAGAACATCTTGAATTGCGACTTTGATTTGGTAGGCTCAGATCCAAGTGATGCAAATACAAACAGCACAACCCTATTCTCAGATGACACTGATGACAAGTCCAAGAAGAATACCTTAATGGAAATAGGTATTTCAAAGAATCAGGAATGTGATGTAAGTACTATTCCATGTTAGCAATTTACACAACTCTATTTTAACACACTTAATCACTTATCAAAAAAAAAAACTCTATTTTATCACTGAATTGCAGTTCATTTATGCTCCTTTATGCTGTAGCCTTCCTGTGCATCCTTATCAGTAGCTTGCCCGTTTTTAGACTGTCTTGGAGGAAGGGATAAGGCATTATGGGCATGTTTCATGTTAAAATGTCTGCACATGTGAATTGCATTTATACTGATGTGGTCTCTCCATTACACAGGCTGCCCATTGATAGATGTAATTTTTGGGCCATAGGAATAGAATAAAAGTAGTTCATCAATCATCAACTGGGATTCATGATCAAGTTTTCCTCTGTGCTAGAAACCTGTGGTTGTTATATTATAATGGTCTCAAGGCTATATTTAGGAATACATTGGTCATTGTTATTTTATAGCAATTCCAGGGCTATCACATATTCCCTAAAAAGAGATCCTTCATCCTATCCTAAGCATGAGTCTGAATTCTTGTATGGTTCTGCCTCAAGATATTGTTCTGTTAAGCTTATTTATGAAGGTCATGGAATCTTACATGCAGCAGGATCTACTTAAAAGGTTGAACTTTCTCATACTGTTGTAGTAGCAATCAAGGTTCAAAATATCACAACGTATTGGGTCGTATTGGCCGTTACATATAATTCTGACAAGAACCCGATACACGGAACATGTATAAATCCTTTGTTCCATTTCTTTTCGTACGTATCGGCTGTTACAGTTCTGTATCGGGCTGTTTCGGATCTGTATCGACCGATCCGGGCGCAAAACAGTCTGATACATTTGATCGTTTCGGTTCATCATTAATTTTGTTAATCAATATTTAATACCGAACCTTTCATTAATGCCATTACTCTTATATTTAAGTCTAATTTCTCTTTCATTAATTAGTCAATTACTCCAAAGCAAATTTAAATTTAAATTTGAATTTTAGCGCTTAATTCAAAATCTCTCATTAATTCCTTTAAATAATGAGCCCCTCTCATTAATTTTGTTTTGTTAGTGTAAAAACTTCAAATTTTAGCTATAGCAAGATTTGAACCTTGGTCACTTGATTTTAACAACCGCAAGTTTGCCAATGAGCCACACATATTTGTTTGCTATGGTCATATGTGTTTTTAATTTTAAGTAAATTTTCACTTATCTTAATGAGTGACAAGTGTTTATTAATAAATGCTACAATTAATTATTAAAATCTATATACTAATAAATATTAAGATTAATTATATTGTTTTTTTGAAAATTGGCATTCACATTTTAGTTTTTTTGTTTTACATTTTAGTTATTCCATCATTTTTCAACGGTTACTAATTGTGTCCCGATATGTCACACTTTATATAAACCATTAAATTATGTTTTTTTTTTTTTTTTACATTTAAATGACTTATTTACAATCATATGAAATTTGTAACTATTGTTAGTAATATACTTTTTAGGATTTATTTGAGTTTTCTACTATATTTATGCGTATCTTGATTTTTCGTTCGTATCCAAAGTGTATCGCGATACATCTCTTAAAATTGTCTTTCCAATACACCTTGTGTTTCCGATACTTTGAACCTTGGTAGCAATGCTGTTCTAAATTTTATTACCTAAAGGTTTCATGCTGAATCGCTGATTACTGCTGTTATTTTTGCAGTATTATAGATATCAATTTTTATGTTATCCTGAATAGTGTCTTTACTAGTATGTGTTTAACTTCATGTTCAATTAATGTTGTTTAAGCTGTGTTTCTTGTATATCTGTTTGTTTCCTTCTTCAGACTAATGTCCCTGCCTCTGAAGAGCCTCTGCTGAAAATCTCATCTGAGTGTCAACCTGGTGTGCTAGGGATAACCAATGGGCAAATAGGTGACAACTGGTCCCACTTAACAAATAGTGCTTAATTTATTCTTTTATTTTTCTTGTTTATAGGGCTAATTTAACAGGTTACACTTTTCAGAAACTCCAGTTTTATATGTCATTTTTGGTTGCTTATAGAAAATGATAACCGTCTAACTATTGTTGATATTGTAGAAGAAACCGATCTTTGATTTTCTTCATGACATATCTGGTATTTCATGAGGTGCTGAAATTTGTAGTTTCATTAACTAAACTGAATCTTCATTTTTTATTCTTTATATATTCCCGTTTCTTTTTCCTTTTGGAATCTGAAAACTACCAAATGTCAAGAACTTTCATGTCAAAAGATTCATCTACTTACCCTTTGCTCTTCTAAAGAAAAGTAAGTCCAACAAGTATTGTTTCAGGGAAGATTTCATCATGTCCAAAGAAAAGTGAACTCAAGGTAGGTGAGTCTTCGGCTTTCTTTACCTATGTCAAATCAAGCTTGCCCAGCAACAACTCTCAGAAGGTTGGTCCCATAGATGACAATGCTGCTCAATCAGTATACTCCAGCAGGGACAAACTTCCCTTCTGGTGTAAAGAAGCAAGTGATGATGCACAGAGATGTGAAAATAGAGAGGGGTGGGAGAACTCCTCGAGGGGATTTAGTCGTCAAAGCAGTGATAATGGTCTTGATTCCACCTCTGCTGAGAGATCTTGTACTCCCCTGAACTTAAGGGAGGAAGAACACTCTATGTTATTTTTGCGTCCAAGCAATGAGTCCCAAGTTGATGTTTCTGGTATACCATTACAAACTCCATCATATTATTTGTCAGGAATGATGAATCAAGTTATCATGCCATCATCAGGGCAACTTTACCCACAGAACCTCCAAGATTTGCCAAAGCATTCACCTATGCTGCCTCAGTATAGTCATCTTCCACAATGTCCTCATTTACCTGTCATGGCATCTTTCCCCTATTACCCAGTAAGTGTATGTCTACAACCAGATCAAATGCCCACAAGCCACATTTGGCAGTCAATGGGAAGTTCATCTTCCACTGAAGTGAAAACAGGTCGATTTGAAAGAAGAGAGGCAGCATTGATCAAGTTTAGGCAGAAGAGGAAAGACAGATGTTTTGACAAGAAGATTAGGTATGTCAATCGAAAACGACTTGCTGAAAGGAGGCCACGTGTGCGGGGACAGTTTGTGAGGCAGGTGAATGGTGTAGATGTGGATCCTAGTGCCCAGCCTGCCACTACTGATGATTATGATGAAGATGAAGAGGATGAAGATGATGAGCACGTATCTAGGGATTCTTCTCCTGAGGATCATGTTTCAGGATCCTAATGTTAAAGCCTTGGTTAATGCTTAGTAGCTCTTTTAATTTCTTCAAAGCTCCATCTTGTTGTTATTCAGAAGCTTTCATAGGCACATTAAGTCATTTCTGGAAGTCTTCTCCAGTGTATACTGATTCAACTGACAGCTGAAAGGGAGGGAAAGTGCCTAGGTGACACCAGAATGAAGCATCGAAGGGTCTATCAGGATTCAGGTATGGCATTTTCTACTTAATAGACATGTATACTTTCAAATACTTTTCCTTTGCTTTATCCTAAACTAGTGGGGACCCGTGCGATACATGGGATTTGTTAAGTTAAAGATAAATGATAGAAACATGTAAGAGTATAAAATTGTTTTATATAATAATTAATAATCATTTATATTTTATATACTACTTTTAATAAATTTTTTACTATACAAAAATAACAATAATTAATTTTAGATAGGGTTGTTTATCAAACTCAGAGATGGCAATTTTCTCCATTTCCCCGATCCTTGTGGGGATCTGCCTCGAATGGGGCGGGGATGGGGGTGATTTTCCCCCCATAGGGATGGATATGGGGAAGTTTTCATCCTCGTTGGTAGAGATGGAGAGAGCACTCCCTACCCTGCGGGGACCCCAATCCCTGCTCCATGGGATCCTTGCTAATATATATGTATATATACGCATACACTTTTTTTTTATCAGTAAAAATCTTTCATTAATAACAGAGAGGTTAAGATACAATAGCTAAAGATTGCATAGGAAATTGCAATCTCTAGCAATCAGTTTCAATTCTGCCCAATACAATGAAGATCTATTTGCCCCTTGTTTTGCTAGGGTATCCACCATCCCATTTGCATCCCTTTTAACCCAACCAAACTGAGAGTTGAACTTCCTTGCAAGTGTGTCAATTTCTCTGAAAATAAACTTGAGCTTTCGAGGTGCTGATGTGATGTTTTTGGCCCAAGAGATGACCAATAGAGAGTCTCCTTCAATTTCTAAGTCTGTTGTTACTATCTGCTCAACCATCTTTAGACCTTGAAGTAGGGCTAGAGATTCAGCCTATTGGTCCAGAGTAGAGTGCCACCACCACACTCCAATAATTTCGAAACACACCCCCTATGCCTGCCCTTCTAGGGTTGCCAAGAGAACTCCCATCAAAATTCAGTTTTAGTTTGTTCCGTGTTGGTGGCTTCCATTCCATGCTTACAAGAACTTCAGGTACACCTGCTTGTGCTATTTCAACCCAATTCCTTAGTATCTCATTCGTTTATATATGCATATATAATATATGTACACATGCGTCTGTATGTTAATATTTTTAATAATATGGTTGAATATGTTTGAATCTTTTTCTAATAGGATTGTAAATTTTAATTATATTATTTTTATTTTTTAAATAAAATAAAAAAGAAAAGCATAATGGTTGGCATTATAAAGAATCATGGGGAGTGGGGATCCCCGCGGGGATGGGGATAACTTTGTCCCCGTTAATGGGGATGGGATTTTCGTAGGGACGGGGATGGGATTTTCGTAGGGACGGGGATGGGGAGAGGCTCCTCGTCCCTGCCCTGCCCTGTTGCCATTCCTAATCAAAATAATGTAACTAACAAACTCGATTTCTAGTATTTCTAGTTGGCTTTGGTTCAACAATTTCCCAACCTGACTAGGTTGGATCAATTTCATTTTTGCCATTTGTAAGCTGACTAAAATCGAACAACCCAACCATTGATATATATTTATATTTTATATTTTAAATATATTTTTTTAATACTAGAAAGAGGGAAAATTCCAATATTTTTTAAGCTAAAATATTTTATATCATAAATTTAATTTTTAATAATGCTATTGTAATTTTTAAAATCTAAACTTAATTTTTAAATTTAATTTTTTTTTAAGTTTAAATCTTTTGAACCAACCGACCAAACCACAAATTGACCCAAACTGATAGAACCTGAGTGACCAACTCCCCAACCTGACCAAGTCGATTTGGTTGGCCAAACAACCCACAACTGAATTGAACCAACCCGTGAACAATAGTTTAGTCTTCAGTAATTATTAAAAATTTATAGCAAAAATACACAATAAATTAAATTCAAAAAGCTAAATAATAATAGTTTAAACTCCAATAATTATTGAAAATTTTCTATTAAATAACAAAACAAAAATAGATTTATACATAATTATTGAAAATACATTTATCACAAAAAACAATAAATAATTAATGAAATACAATAAATATTAATTTTAGTATATATAAATATATAATAAATATAGATTAAGTTTTTAAAATTATTATTAATAAAACATTATTTTTTTGAAATTTATTTTCTAGAATTATTAATTGGTATAAATAAAATTAGTTATTTACAATATTATTTATTTATTGAAATAATATCATTATTTAAAATTTTAAATATTAATTACTGGATGAATTTAATATCCATAAAATTATAGTACTATTAATACATAATTTTGTTATTTTAACTATTTAAAATCTAGTTATGTTAAATATTTTGTTATTTAAAATACTTTGTTATTTAACTAAATATTTAATATCCTATTCTATTTATAATAAGTGAAAGTTTTTTAATAACTATTTAAAATATATTATTAATTGATTTAAAATATTAATTTTAATATTTTTATTGAAATATTTAAATAATATTTCATTTTTAATGTTTAATTTTTATTATTTGAATAACTTTTAGATTGAATAATGCAGAAAATCATTATTCATATTGTTTATACATAATTTCGTGATGGATTTTGTAAAAATATATAATTATTAATAATATGAATTTTATGAAATCGATTATAATTTTTTTTGTCTTTTTAATAAATATTTTAAACATATATAATTTTGTTATAATATTTAAATAATTCTTATTTTTTTTTAATTCAAACTTTCTTTAGATAGATGTAGATAAAAAGTGGGGGAGAAGATAAATAAGAATTAGAGATAATTTAGGAGAGAATCTCTCTACTAAATTAGAGATAACTTAGGAGAAAGTTGGGGATAGTGGGGGAGGTTTGTTTTGGAGAAATTGTGTGTGTGTGTGAGAGAGAGAGAGAGAGATTTTAGGAAGATTTTTTTTTGGGGAAAGTATAGTTTCTAATTGGTAGTTTTAAAAATGACGTGGATCAGGATTAAAAAATTAAAAAATTCTAAAAAAAGGAGAAATTTCTATACTTACTTTTTTGTGTGGAATTTTGTTACTAGAATGGCAGATATCTAACTTGAGGATTTGATGATCATGGTATCCTTTGTGTGGAATTTTATTTCTATACTTACTCTTTTGCATCCTAGTAAATCCTAAATATTTCTCCTTTTTCCTCCTCTCTACCCCCAAAAAGCAAAAAAAAAAAAAAGAAAAAAAAAAGAAAAAACAGGGTTTTTCCTTTGTCATAAATAATTCTTTATGTTTTTTTTTTCTTCTTTTTAGCATAAATAATTGACTAAATTAGGGCCAATGAAAGGAATCCAGTGAGAGGAACCCTGTGTCCATGTGAAAGGAATCCACTGTTATTGATATTGTTCAAGAATGGAATGTCTGTTGATAACTTTATTAGGGCTCAGCTAGTTTAATTAATCTTACCCTTTTGGATAATGCAATTATGAGCTTCTAGTTCCATCATTGTGTGTGCGTGTGTTTTCGTGGTTGTTTGATAATGGCTGAAGTGGTTGAACTGAATGTCATGTTGGTTTGATTCCTATGCTCCTAAATATTTTATTCAATCACTATTTTTTCCATCAAAAACAAAGCAGTAAGTCATTAGTTTAGTTAGTCATTATCAAATAGCCCATTAGGTTAGGATGGCAATTCGATCAGTTGTCTATGAAATGGACTGTGGACAGAATAGCAGGCAAATAACATTAAAAATGACCTTAATAATCTGATTTTTCATAAAATATCTGATTAGTGGCTTGGGATGGATTTTCTTCTTGGCAATACGCACTCATCTTGAGGAAAGTTTCTTAAGTAACTAGACACGCCCCCCACCAAAAGAAAAAAGAAAAAAAAGTTTTGTCATTGTATCTGTATCTGGTGGTGGTTTTTCAACAAATATATTACAAGAATGGGGGATATGGGTAGTACCTTGGAGTCTCGTAAAGCCCAAAGAGATGATGGCATCTTATAACTATCTGAGAGAAAACCTCTAAACATATTGTGCTTTAAAATACAATTCTTCATTAACTTGGAAAAGATGAGTGGTGACCTTTATTGTTCATTGTAGGCCCTCGTCCAGTTCCAAGTCCTTTTTTCTCTGAGTTATTAGTTGGTAGCCATGGAAAATTAGGCCTCTCCATTCTTTTAGTGATTGATTGTACTAAAATAAAGTAGGATGATGGATTCAGTCTGTTATTTAGAGAAAACATCCTTCCAGACAAAATTCTGAACGTTGCGTTGTGAAAATGGGGAAAATTTTAGATAATGGTCTACCTACTACAATGCTAATTATTGGATTATTTTGGTTTATTTCTTGAGTGATATGTTCAATTTACATAAGTTAGTATTCATGATGATGATCAAACAAGTTTCAGAGAAGTTTTCCTTTGCATATTTCTAGGCAAGTCCACAACTGAACAATTACACACACTTGCAAAATAACTGATGAATAATCAAACACATTTTTAACTGTCTTCTCATGCTGCAACCAAAAACCAAAGTTTTGTTCAGTGTTTTAAATGGCATGGGTGTGTCTCATTTTGGGAGCGTGCTTGCCATGACCCATGACCTATGCTGAGATGAACTCTTATATGAGATTGAAAAGTCAATTTACTATATTGTAGGTTGTACCACTTTTGTTGTAATAACTAAATATATGGTTGATTGTGGATTAAAAATGGAGTCAAATTCATTTTTTCTATATGCTTGATCTTTTACTGTATATTTTAATTTATGATAAATTTCTAAAAATAATATTACAACTTATGTTGTAGTTCAACTCAATTTAACCTTCTCTATGATTATATGATATATAATTATAATTTTCAAAACCTTGCCATATCTACCACTTATTCTGCACCTTCAGATTGAATGGAAAATAATATACATGTACAGCTATTGCAATGTGGCTGTAATGACTTCCACACGAGGACAGCCTGGACTATCCTTGAGAGTAAATTTGCTGGCATTGAGGATTGAATAGGGTTTGTTAATATTGCCTACACCCTAAGGGTTCAGTTTGGAAGGAGTACAAATATAAATTTGTGGAGTACAAAACCTTGTATTTTGTATTATTTTATATGTATTTGCGCTGTACATATTTGTATTTGTACTCTTTTCAAACTGAGCCCAAGTGGAAACACATTTGAAATTTGGTTTTTTAAGATATGGAGGTTACATCCCTGCTATGCAGCCAAAAAAGGGGCAGCCCAGTGCATGAGGCTCCCGCCAACTTTCTCCTTGTTATAACTTGTTAGGAATGAAACTTGGCCTTGTAGAAATATATGTTGTCCAGTACCTACATAATAAATGACTAATTAACTAAAATAATATAAAAAAATTATATTTTTAGCATTATAAAACATACTATTTCCTAAAGATAATAAAAGCCAATAGAATGCTATTGGTATCTAAAACAGCCATTTTAGGAGTAGTTGGGTAGAAGTTAAATATGAAAAAAACGATTTAATGGGCACAGCAAGTTTCAGTTGGAGGAAATTTTTATAAAGATTTTGTCTTGCAAGTTACATCCCTTTGGTTTTACTGAAAATTTAGAAATGCCCATGCCAGTAATTTCCCCCTATTTTTTAGCTGTTTATTGATTTCGTGCAGAGACATTGGGATTTGTAGCAGGGACCTGACCTGGAGTTTTGAGCATATATGAACAGCCAGCTTGGACATCGCACATAGATGATGTGTTTCCAGTCAGGTTGGGAAAATAATGCAGGTCTTTCTTTTGCACTAGTCAATTTATTTTGACAAACGAAATTGTTCCGCTGCATTCTATTCTGATTTCCCCTCATTTATAGCGAAAATTACAAACGAAATATGAACATGCAAACCTTCTTGCTTCCTCCCGAGGGGTTGGATATAAAGGCTGTTTTGCTTGAATTTATAATTTTTTTTTACTCACTGGCTTGAATTTATCAGTGGCATTTACTCTTTTATAGTTTTTTTTTAATCATGATACTTTCACTCTTTCGTAGTCGAGTTCTTGAAATTTCATTATTTTGTTTGGGAACAAACAAATTTTCTTATAATTGAAATTTGTATATATATTATTTTGTTGTATATACGTTGTTATATAATATTAAGTTATACTTTTCTATTTTCATTTCATCTTTAACTTATTATCTTTTAAAATGAAATTTAACCCGATATTTGAGTTGAAGGTAAGATTTGTATATTTTCTATTAGTCTACCTACGACTAGGAGGCTAATTTTCCCTTTGCCATCGTTTCTTTTCTTCTGCATTTGGGGTCGTAAAACTTTTTGGAGCCGGGTTCAGATCTGCTTTGACCACAAAACACTGTACAATTTATTATCATGCATTGGGAGATATTCCCAATGTGCGGCTATGATGTCTTGTGCATTGGATTGAGACCAGCGTTTTGTGGTCAGTAGATCGAGCTCTTTTAAACCCCCTTCCCCTAATAAAACATCGATATGATATTCATTGCTTTAAAAAAAGGGGTTTTTACTGTTCAGTTCACCCTAGAAATACAGGCGGAGCTAAGATGGTGTGCTTGATTTATTTTTTGGGAGGGGGGGGGGTTCTAAAACTAGTAAGATGGTGTGCTTGAATTGTGGTTGTAGGCTTGTAGCAGATCTGAACTTCGATATTTTCAATGAAATGATCCTACTTCAAAGGCTGGTTTACGCTGTACTGTATTAAAAAAAGAAAATATAAACTTAAAGCAAGAAATAGAGTCCCTTTCAAAGTTGCAGTTGCAATATGATCCAGCCTTTTGTTATCTGCTTTAATCTTTGATTTATACTTTTTGTTCGAAGTTTGAATCCAGCCTTTGATGTGGGATCATCTCGTTGGACGGCATGATTGGTCGAAACATTAGAAAAGTATCTGAGTCTGGTATATGTTCATGGAAAAGGAACTGAATCTACTATATGTGGATGGTAGTGCCAGTTTCAAAATTCATATTGATACTACCTGGTGTAAACCATGTGGTGAGCTGGTCAATCTGGTCTCTAAGTAATAACTAATAAGCGTCTCCTTTTCTGAGATGCTTCTACAAGTCTGGCGAACCAAAAGTTATAGCCAGTTCACATGTCGAACCAAGGATCAAAGTATTGTGTCGTGGTTACTGAAATGATAAATACTGGACATCAAATAAAGAAATGCTAAATACTGAGTTGAGGCATTTTAATAATTTGAAATGTCCATGAAAATGAAAAATTAAAAAAAAAAAGGATTATTGTTGTAAATTCAGAATTGGGACCGAGTGCTCCTCAGTCCTAACACTGACCTGACCACAGCTACATTCCGCCGTGTATTGGGAACATCTCCCATTCCTGATATATGGCTGGCACATTTGAGGTCGGTGTGAGGAACAGATCCGGATTTGAAAGTTCAGGATATGCAAATTTCACATCGTGAGTATCAACAATTTCAACCTTGATTTGAAGTTAAAATAGCCTCCACCTGGAGTTGTGGCACAAAAAAACTAGATAAATGAAATATGTTTTAGGCTAATGACTTGTCTCCTTTTTGTCATTAAACTGTTCCTATGAACACCGAGTTTTTAACTGCCAAAAGAAAACAAGTTCTTAAAATAAGGAATGCCAAACACAACCTTATAATTACACTTGCAAGTTGCAATTTTCATCGGCAAGATCTCTTACCAAAAACCTAGCTCCCAATACACCTACTGTTCTCTGTTCTAAATACACATTCTTGCCCTCACAAAGTGCACCTCATACCAACCTTACCGTGCACTCTGTGAGGAACAAATCCAAATTAGTTTTGTCTGTGTAAGAAAAATGCTCGTTGAAGTGCAAGGAGCCAAGTGCCAACTGACTAGCCCTGTTGTGGTTGAATCCCGCCTTGGTAGGGATGAGATCGGATTCAGTACGCTCACACTGTATTCATAATCACTTGCAATTACATATTGGGAATATTTCTGTTTTCTATTCATAGGGAGATATTTGTAAGTAGCTGTGGGGACAGTGTGATCACGGTCTTGTAAGAATTGAAACTGAGTTCCGTAGGGATGGCCAGATGGGTTACCCTTGTGTAGTCTCAATTCGCTCCATGAGACTGAAATAAATGGAAAAAAAAAAAAATTGCTCGTTGAAGTTTGTAACCATCGAAATATCGAATTAGAAAGTTCACACTATTTCATGGTTCAGTAAGCCCGGTTCTTCATTAATTTTAATGACAACTTGCCCCGGTAAACCTTTGGTCCTGACTTTTGATGCACATTGTCAAAGTGCCCGTTATGATACAATCTTGTTTCATGACACTGGAGAATGGAGATGCCTTGGACTATTGGACAAGGTGCTTTCTCCTCACCACTCACCAGATGACCAGTAGATTTTTCTTTTGGGATGGCCCTAAGACTTTGGGGCTTGTTTGGCAAATCTTTAACACATACTGACACATGCATCGGATACACACAAGCACACATCAACAAATTATCGTATTAAATTTCAGGGCTATGATTTGTTGAGTATGATATTGGAAAAACTTGTAACCAATCAACCGATTGGGGGTTTTCATGAGAAATTGGGAAGGCTTTTGGGTAGGGATGGCAAATTTTCTGTCCCCATCTGGTAACTGGTTTCCCCGATGCCATTGGGTCGGGGATGGTGAGTGAATTCCTTGCCCCACTCCAACTCCAATGATATATATTATTTATGGTATAAGTTATATTATTTATATTATATATATATATATCAAAATATATTTAAAACATTTTTATATTTTTAAAAATTTCTCTTATTTTAAGTAATTCTGTTTTATAGAAATCTTTTAATTTAAAAGTTTCAGGGATTCAGGTCATCCAAAATTAGGGATGGAGGGTTATTTTTGTCTCTGGTAGGGATAAGGGAGTATGGTCACTGCCCCAAACCTATCCCGTTGCCATTCCTATTTTTGGGCGAGTTCGGCTTCAGTCAGTTTAAGTCCATGCTAACACTATTCGAACACTCTCTTGCAGCCTTGTATAAGGAATATCTCACTATGAAATAAAAGCTCATTAGTATGTAGATATTCCTGACACAAGGCTGTAAAAGCTGTTGGAACAGACGTTGCACTGACTGAAGCTGATCTCTTTTTGGGCATGACAAAGGTCATATTAAATTCTTTGTAATGGTTCCTTCCTTGTCTTTTTGGTCAGACTGAATATTGAGGGCAATTACTCTTTTGCCCCCACCCATGGTAACTTGTCATGTCCAAACACATTCTCAACATCCCAGGATGTTGGCCCCAATGACCAAAGTTTTTCTTTGTTTGATCTTTTGTAATCATATCTTTTAGGTATTGTAGATTTTCCTTAAAATCCATTAGCTTTTTATATGCCTTTGTTTCATTTAGTTTTCTAGAGTTAACTAGCGGGGACCCGTGCAATGCACGGTATTTGTTAAGCAAAAGCTAAACAATTGAAACACATAAGAGTATACAATTATTTTATATTTTTAACTTGTTAAATAATTAATACTTATTTATATTTTATATATTACTTTTAATATTTTTTTACAATACAAAAATAATAATAATAATTAATTTCAGCCAGGGTTGTTCATCAAACTAATGAAAGCAACCAAATCAACTCGAGTTAGTCAGTTTTATAGTATTTTTGGTCGGCTTTGCTTTAAAAATTTCCCAACCTAACCAGGTATATGTTTGTATATATGTATATATTAATATTTTATATTTTTAATATAATATTTTTAATACAGGAAGTAGGAAAATTCCCATATTTTTTAGTTAAAATATTTTATATTATAAATTTAAGTTTTAATTTTTTTTAATATTGCCACTGTATTTTTTAATTTAAATTTAATTTTTTTTTTTAACTTTTTAAGTTTTAAATCTTTTGAACTGACCAACCAAACCAAAAATTGACCTAAATTGGTATAACTCGAGTTGGCCAATTTTCACTAATGGTCAGTTGGTTTCAGGTGACCAACTCCCCAATCTGACCAAGTCAATTTGGTTGGCCAAACAACCTATAACCAATTTGAACCAACCCATGAACACTCTAAATTTCAGCTAAATTAATAGTATAATCTCTAATAAATAATAATAGTTTAATCTCCAATAATTATTAAAAATTTATAGTGAAAATACATAATTATTAAAAATTATATTGATTGTGGAAATTAAATAAATAACTAATAAATGCAATAAATACTAAAATTATATTAAATTAGTCAAGAAATAGTGTTATCTCAGATAATAGTTTAAACTCTAATAAATATTAATCAATGAATTATAACAAAAATACAATAAATTCAATAAATTAATAAAAAGTGAAATAACAATAGTTTATTTTCAATGATTATTGAAAAAATTCCATTGAATAACAAAATAAAAATAAATTATACTTAATTATTGAAAACATATTTAATAAAAAACAAAATAAATAATTACTGAAAATACAATAAATATTAATTATAGTATAGATAAATAAAGATTAAGATTTTAAAATTATTATTAATAAATATGAATTTTTGAAAGTTATTTTCTATAATTATTAATTGATATAAGTGAAATTAGTTATTTACAATATTATTTAGTTATTAAAATAATATAATCATTTAAATTTTAAAAAATTAATGATTTGTTGTATTTAATAATCCATAAAATTATAATTTATACTATTATTACATAATCTTGTTATTAATTTTGTAAAATATTAAATTATTATTAATTTGAATGTACTTTTATTTTTTTTTGAATTTATTACATAATTTTGCTACTTTAACTATTTAAAATCTAGCCATGTTAAATATTTTGTTATTTAAAATATTTATTTATTAAATGTTGAAATAATATATAAAATTTTTAAAATTTTTCATTTTTTGAAATTTATTTATTTTAAAGTTATTACATAAAATTAAATACTTTATTATATTATTTAAGCTATTGAGAATGTGTGGGATGGAGAGAGAGAGAGAGAGAGAGAGAGAGAGAGAGAGAGAGAAAGAGAGAGAGCGTGTGGCCGTTTCTTTGGAGGCTGGATCTCCTGACCACAAGAACCCTGCCCACGTTTATCGCAGCCACACATGGAGAACATCTGACCCTTTGCATAGCATTATGCAGGGGGAGATGTTCTCAATTCACGGGGGGTGGTGTATTGTGGGTAGGGTTCTCGTAGGCAGGAGATCCAGAGTCGTTTCTTTGCATTGAAATAACCTCTGACCGCTGAGAAAACACTTTATTCTTAGTGGTCAAAGTGTATTCAACTGTTTTTTTTTTTTGAGAAAAAAATTCTTATTAAACTGAATGCAATAATAATGCACTTTCCAGAAATCCGTGTCAATGAGTTTTTAATTCTATCTCCATTTATCCTGTATCTTGTTTATAATTTAAAATATAATAAATTTAAAATGAACAAAAGAATTAAGAAAATAACAAGAAATTAATAAAACTAGTTTTTAATATTATATAATTACATTAAGCATCGTAAATAGTTATTGAAATGATAATTTGATTAAAAGAAGTGAAAAGATTAGAAAACAATTAAGCATTGAAAATTGAATAAAATTATTAAAAATTGTTGAAGTTTTGATATTTTAAACTAATAAAATTAGCAAGATGGTTAAATTTTAGTAAAGTAATTATGTCAATAGAAATAAAAATATTAAAATTGGCTTGTAAGATGAAACTCCAAGATTTGATGTTCGTTTACACGACACTAAGGAAACATACCTAACGGTTGAATAAAATCAGAATGTTCATGATGTGTAAGCAATTTCAGGTGTTTTTTTGATTATTATTGTTGTTGTTATAAGAAGAATATATAGATTGATAATGTAAGGCTAGATTTGACTTCAAATGAAAAAAAAAAAAATGATTTTTATAAGAGTACACGTTGGGAACCATTAATTATTCTTGCTGGTGGACATTGGAGTGGAAGCCATGTTATGTTTAAATTGAAAGATCCCATGCTGGAAAGTTAATATACAAAAACATGGAAAATCAGTTCAAGGATTCGAAAAATTCAAGAAATTAACAACACATGGTTATTATAATTTTAACTAAATATTAATTGACCTTCTCAATTCGACCCTTTGTTAAGATATATAATTTATAAGTTCATAAATTGTATATATGTTCGCCTGATTGGGAAGGGAGACCAAAAACAGCTTGTTTGTTTGTTTTATTTTTCCTTTTCTTTGTTTTGGCAGTAGCCGGAGAATAGCTGTCCCAAATAAAATTGCTTTGGTTACATAGAGGTTGTTTGGTATCGATGGCATTTATAAGATAAATGTCAAAATTGATAATTTTTTAATAAACGGTTCACATGATTTTTGAGAAAGCCGTTTATCAGATAAACGGCTCAACCAAATAACTTTGTAGGCGTTTTTTTTGTTAGACGCAACTCAAATGCTGAGCCCAAAAACTACATGGATACCAAACACTAAAAAGGAGACGGAGCTCCCCGAGAACGTGAATATATTTCAATATTTTCTCATTCTTTTACCGTCTACCAGCTGAAAAAGGAAAAAAAGGAAGGAATCTCCAGTTATACAGCTGAACTGAAATGAAATGCCGAAACAAGTGTTGGACGGACAAGGAAGTGAAGGTAGGAGTAACCCAGCCTGCAAATTTGAAGACCGTAAGTCTTAGACTGCATAAAGTAGTAGTCTGAACTCTGGCTGGGCTCTCAGCTCTGGAGTAGTAAAGAGAAAAAGAGGAGGTCGGATCCGGTGAAAGCGGAGTTGGCTTCAGAAATCAGAAGTGCCCATAACCACAACATATCATGTGAGTTGGGATCAATTTTTCGATTAACAGAAAAAAGGGAGGTTATGTCAGGTGTAGGGTGTAGGGTGTAGGGTGTAGGGTAAGGCGATGATGGAACCCTAATTCCGTATTAGTAAGTAATAGTAATAGTCTGAAAACAGCGCGCTATCCCTAGTTTGGCCCCCTATTTCCAGCTAGGGCTGATTAATTTGAGGGAGCTGAGTGTGCTCTCAAAACACCACCATTGTTTGCTTTGGCCGCTGGCTGAGGCAAAACTTGGTAATAATCAACTTCTATGGCTATGGCTATGGCTATGGACACAAAAGGCAAAACTAAAGCTGAAAAGCCTCCACAGTAGATACCGTGCATACTAAACCTACACAAGTAAATTTGTAAAGAAGCATTATCATTACAACCATTCACCAAGTTTGCAAGAACCTAAGTCTGCATGCCATCTTAAAATTTCAATTTCAATCTCAACATACAAAAGAGTCAGAGACAGAAAGTGGGCATGAGAAGTGAGACCCCAGTTTTCCCCTAACAATAAATCACAATGATTTTAATTGCATTTCTTATTCTGGCTCCTGTTTCATCCATTCTACACAAAAAATATATATATATATATATATATTTATGCAAATAATTTGGAGATGTCAAACAATTACATTGGGCTTTGCACTGACTGCATCCCATTTCAATAATTTGTGGGAGGATGGATCACAAAACAAAACAATACGCTCTCACTTTGTTACCCAATATTTTATTAATTAGCCTTTTTTTTTTTTTTGCTTTGAACATATATAATAATTGTTAAGCGATGGGTATATATATGATCCACACCCAATCGCCAACCTTCCGTTTACTTGAACCTTTAATTAACATTAAATTGGTCACAAAAATTAATATTAAACCGCTAATCCACCTCGATCCATCGAGGAATGGTATATATTAATAATTTTCTCATCTACAGTACTGACCCACTCCATTGTTCAAAATATTGATGATGAGTTGATATATATACCCAACAAGCCATAGAGCCATAGAGCCATACATATATAAGCTGTCTACGTACATTCAAAAATCAAAATCAAGAGGTATAGATACCGTTGTCTAGCTAGCTCCATCATCATATCATGTATGTATATATATATATATATATATATATATATATATTATATACTTAGAAAAGAAGTACATTGCCGGCCACATTGTACAAATTCATGAACATGGTAATTCATCAACATTTTATATAGTTTGGAAAGGGATGTGTGTGTTGGAAAGACTTGTTGATTACTCTCATCACCTGTGGGAGAATCTCTCACCAATCAACCCCCCGCCCCCCCTGAATTTAATTTCATGAATTCTCATTGGTTAAGTGTACACAAAACCATAATTAGGTTTAGGAGATCTGTACTACTGGATCCATCGATCTTGTTAGCTAGCAAGCTACCCACATCACATGGAAGCAATAAATTCACAGTAACAAACAGATTAATTTACTATTAAGTGTGTCTGAGAATATCCTCATCTTGGGTTACGTTACTGCTAGCTGGTGAAACATGGAGGATGTTTGCCTCCTCCTGCCTACTCCCTCCTCGATCCCTAGAAAAAAATTGCATATTATGGACATTTCATTTAATATATACAATCCATATCCATATAAGGTCTGAGAGAGAGAGAGAGATGTGTGTGAAATTGAAGGCACGACTTTAGATTTGTTGCTTCTTTATTGAATAAGAAGCTAGGCATTAGTAAACAAACAAGAAGAAAGGACATGCTGATTTATGCTTCTGATCAGCTTAACTAAACCTCCACTCCATTCAATCTTAGCTTCGATCGAGAACTAGATTCTCTTCTACACAGCTAGCTAGATCTTTATCTTTAGAACAACGAAACACCTTGATTACAAAAGTTAATGCTGCAGTAAAGTAGGAATGCCATCTTCACCTTTTCCATGGTGTCTGTACCTTCAGATTGGATCTTTTACAACTTTACAGAAATAGATCTGGGTATTGGGCTAATGCCCAACAAAGATCTCAACCCGAAAAATAATGCACAGATCGACTAGTGAAGAAGATCATCATCATGAACAAATTAACAGCAGTAGTCCGCGCGCGCGGAACATCGATCGATCATCGTTATCACTGACATGTGCATATATGGACAACGCTCAGGTTCTGGGTGGAAATTTCCTACAAAGTGACACAACTGGTGAATTGGCTTATCCAAATACACATACAATTTATATATGATCACTTGGCATCGTTGCCTCGGACTTTCTTCATCTTACGGCCATGATCGGCGAACAAGGCTGGTGGAAACAGTGATTCGATCTCATCGGACAGATTGAGCAGGAGTTGTCGGCGTGTTGAAGATGCTTTTCGTTTTTTCGATGGGATTGATATTATCTTCCTCGGTGCAGGTGGACATTGTAGGATCACAGGAATTTTATGATCTAAAGACGTCGGGGTCCGGAACCCGTCATCGTCGTCGTCCCCCGTGAATTCTCCTTCTCCTAGCAATGGCAGTTTGAGATCCTCAGAAGAAGCTACACTCTGGTCTTTATCTTCCTTCTCGTCATGTTGTTGTTGTCGTTGCTCATTTTGTTCTCCTTGTCGATGAAGTTGATGAACTTCTGAAGTGGTAATTAGGCGGCCATCGTCTGAGAATTCCGACGTAGATCTTAGAAGAATTTCTAATTCATTCACCTCAGGGTCATTGTCAACAAGAAAGAGTTCTGATGAATTCGACATACCCACGAAGGAAACTTGTTCGAATTCGGAGCACATGAAGCGAAAAAGAGAATATAATAGGAGAAACGAGCAAAACAAAACAACAAGAAGACGCTCAGAGCTCAAAGCTCGAAGAAGAGTGAGAGAGAAGCGACGAGAAATACATGAGAGAAAAGATGGTTTGTTATACTTGTCGTGGATGGAATATAATCATCAAATCAACATCTTTTGTATTTCTTTAGTGGTTTCTTTGGATTTTATCTTTTTCGACGTTTTCTTATTCGACACTGCGACGACAGATGAGGTGGAAGCTTTCGAACTCCTCTCGGCGAAGGATCCGATGCACTTATACCCACATCTCTCTCTCTCTCTAGTAGTCACTACGACTTTTGTTAAAACTTTAAAAACCGTTTCTTCCTCTCTCTCTCCTTGGATCTATTCCACAGCACAGTCCACTCTCTCTCTCTCTCTCTCCCCCAGAACCAGAAGCTCTCTCTCTCTATAAAATTAAAATCACCCAAGTTTACGCAATTCGCTTTTCTTTTCAGATCTATACCAACTTTAATGCATCTCTGCACGTGGCTTGCTACAGCGACCATATCCTGTACAAAATTGCACCCCACCATTTTCTCCACGATACCTCGGACCCACTTCTCAGATGCTTGTTTTCGTTCGCAAGCAAAGATGAAAAATATATACAAATACCCCTGCAGTCTTCTTTTCTGCTCAAAACAAACTATATAAATAATAAACATTGCAAAGTCTACCTTCGCCCTTGTTTGTTCTCCGCTTTCTTTTGATATATAATTGGTCTGTCATTCATCTGTAACTGTAAAGAAATCATTTTTTTTTTTTTTCTGCTGTTGTGATTGTGAAGCTACCATGCAAATAATACTGTGGAGTATGGACACTGATCCAGTCAATTAATGTAGATGTGTTGGGGAAACCATGGCCATGTGTTCAACACTTTAACATTAATTAATTAGTAAAGATGACATGCATCAACCATGAGAACAGCTCCTGGGTCTGAATCTGATGTTATAAATAGTTCAATGTAATTCCTTGCTTCATGGAAGCAAAATCAATTAATAAGAAGTTAAAAGGAATTAATTAAACATCTAGCTAGCCCTTGCTATTCTGGAACCATGACCCATCTACCACTAAATTAAACATTAAAAATAAAGATGAATTAGGTTTAAGTGATGCATATTGATCATTGATGTGGTCTTATCAACACAAATTAAGGTCAAAGGGTCCTCATACGTATCTAATGGCTATAACTGAGTTTTGGAATGTGAGCTACCTACATCTATCTAAATGGGAAGTGGCCACATCCTGATGAATGAGAAAGGTGGAGGACCACTGGAGGCTAGGGTGTTGATCATGTGCCGAAGCTGACCATAACGATAACGTTTTACCATGGATCTTAAAAAGTTAAAATAGAATGGAAATAGCAAAAGGGTTTCACATGGGCCCCTCCCCTCCCTTTCAACTGACATGGTTGAGTGGGTCATAACTAAGGGGTTAGTAACTTAGGATTCCCAAACTTTAAATATTGGGAAGAGGGAGTCGAGATTTGGTAAGTTTCTAGTATCTCAGCAATGGATCCATTTTTCTCATTTATTCATATTCTATTTTCTACACATACACATGGTTATGATATTGATTCTTTTTTTTTTTTTTTTTTGTTGTTGTTATCTTAATTTCCCGGCTGTGTGACACGACAAGCTCGTGGGAAAATTAATGAAGGTTGAGTTCAATGTGGGGGACCAGATAGGTTTTCATCATCAAATCAGCATAAAGGCAAGGTAAAAGAGGGGGTCGGTATTAACTTTAAATTTTATAATTATTTTATTATTTTTTGCATTAATTTATTGGTATAAATATTAAGGTAGGGTAATACACTCCCATGGGGCATCATTGCAACTCATGCTCTTATTCATGATTTTGCCCCCATTTCCAACCATCATATCCCATTTCTAATAATAATCATCCTCATCTCTCTCTCTCTCTGCAATTCCCAATCCCAAATGCCCATTTAGATTCATTCTCTTTCTTCCTTTCTGGGATGTCTTCCTTTTCGTGGGATACAAGGACATGATCTCCACTATGGGTTGTCTTGGTCATTTGAGATGTATATAATTTAACCATATATATATATATATGAATATAATTCTTTTCTTTTTGGGAGGGGTATGGTGTCTTGCAGCAGTGAATGAATGAAGGGTTGGCCCTCTATTTACTTCAAAAGTTGCGTTGCTTTCCAAGCCTACTAACCTACCAAATCTTCATCTTTTAAGACTTATTGACCGATCAGCTTGGCCACTCAGTGGGGTTGATTGGATTGGTTTGAATTGACTTGGCCCACAAACTCATTCATTTTGCACTCGCACAACAACAACAACAATAATTGCATTGCTATGTTTCGGTTGATTTGGCCGAGTTCATTTTGATGCTAATTTAATTGATAAAGGTGTAAGCTGTCTATATTAATTTATATTTATTGTAATAAAACCAATAATTTATGAAATTCAAGTAATTTGAAGGCCACCCACTTATAAGTAGTTTGTAGTCCATCTAAATAAATTAAAATATACATAATATGGTTGAATTTAATTATCAATGTATCCAATCACACGCATCGTTTCATCGGGGCAGAGCAGACCTTATGAAATGCTTGTGTTTGTTAATCGGGACCCATCAATTTGGATTTGTAGTCAATGAATTTTATCCGAATATTAATCATCAAATAATTATTCTTGTCATGTGTGGGTGGGCAGTAAGCTGAGACAAGGATGTTATTGGGGTACAACAAATGACTACAAGTACACCATTTAGCAAACCAAGCAATCAACTCCCCCTTGGATGTCCTTTTTAAGCTACAGTAAATTACTGAATGAATTATTTAAGGCCCATTTGATTCACAACTAGAATCAGAATCAAAATCCTTTGAAATCAGAATTGGAATCATTTCTTCTCATAATCTATTTGGTTTAAACATGAATCGAAATTGGAATTGGGATCAATTGGAATGGAATTTCATTCTTAATAGAGAGAAAAGGAATATTCATTCCTTCAAATGGGAAAATGTCTTACCATTCCACTAATAATGAAAATGAGATTCCAATTCTACTCACAATTCCAAATCCCTATTCCCGCAAATCAAATGGGACCTTAGAAAATAGTGATAATTAATTAATTAGGAATGATTGGCAATGAAAGCCTACTTTTAAAGTTAGGACAGTAGAAGAGTAGGCAGGCTTTCATTCACATTTGGAAACTGGTTGGTATGGTTATGATTGTGCCATTAAAGCCCTTGGCCATCCTTCACTTGAGTGTTGAGTACCAGTTTCCTAGATTGTTTCCTTCTTCTGATCTGCGTCTGCTATGATATTGATCCACACACATATATATACATTGTACAATCATTTTTGGTGGATTTCTATAAAGTAACTACATGTAACATTAATATATATATATATTATATTATGTTATTGTTCTTGTACCAGCCGGCTGCATGAATTAATCCACACAACACATTATTTGACATTGGCTTTTGGGATTGAGAAACCAGCATTAATCAAAACAAAAATTGATTTAATTAATTAATAACCGGCTCGCTGTTTGATGCATGAGAAATTGAGAACATTGGGAAGAGAAGACTAGAATAGTGTTCACTGCCCACCGCACACTAGTGCTCCTGCTCGTATGACAATATGTATATGGGCCGCTACCTTATTGTGCCCAATTCCTGACAGATACTCTGTGTGTGTTTGACCATTCTCCACTGCTCCACTCCAATTAAACCACCCATTTTCCAATCACACCTTCTAGCAAAAGACTAAGGAAAAAAAAAGAACCGAATTCATCAAAAAGTCTGATGCTGACCATAGTGCCTTGTATTCCGATGCAAAAGTGAACCCATGGATAACGACATTTCCCTGTTCACGTTGTACATTAGTAACTCCCATCTGATAATCCATGGATTATCCATCCATAATGATGCTATCATATCAACTAAACCACATACACACGTCAAATATAAACTCATATAGCTCAGTCTCTGTATGCACTTTGTTTTTTTCTTCTTCTTGGGTCCCCACTTAGTTGGATGTCATACACTTATTTTATCCAAAGCAAACCATGTGTTTTATTTTCTCTCTCAACCTGGACCTGGACCTGGACGTTTGTTTGCTTGCTAGTCCACTCCAAGTCTCCAATCCTTCCAATGAGGAGGTCAATCATCTACTTTTTATTCTCTCTCTTTTTTCCTTTTTTGGTAGTCGATCTACAGTATATAAATTAATAAAAAACAACAGTCACGTGGCAAGTAAACTGGGTTCGTGGGAATAATTGGATGAATGGCTCATTCTGAATTCAACCATTTGGTTAGATAGAATCAGAATCTTATTGTCATTCCACATTCTTCCATATGAGGGAATGGTCATTTCCTCCCCCTCCTCTAGGAATGAAAATCCATTCTAGCCAATTCTGATTCTAATTTCGAGTCCAGTCTGAATTTAACAGGTGAAGCCAACAAACTATTCTGATTCTGATTCTGATTCCAAGACTGTAAACCAAACAGACCCTAAAAGAAATTAGTCTGACTATTAGTGAATGGTTTTGCTTGGATTGGAGAGTGGAAACTGGATTGCCTGCAATAGGCGGGGTTCCACTTCTTGGCGGCCGGGTTTAATTGCTGAGCCCAATACGCCAATGGGCCATCATCATGGGCTAGGGCATAACATGGCTAGCCCTAACCTAATGAAACTGTGTTCGAGCAAACTATTTTTAGCCTGTCCATTCCAGGCTCTAACGCTGCATCAAAATGAATCATTTCAAATTATAGGATCTCAGTCATCAACAGTAATGGGTTCATTTTGGTTTGCTAAAACAGAAAACTGGAAATGATAGAAAACCCAGAATGGGCTCATTTGAACACCCTTCCAAACCACCAGTAGTGGACTTGCGGTATGGACTATGGAGTGCTAATCAAACGACCTCAGAAAACCCTATTTATGTTTCAATAACTCGATTGACCTAGATGTTTCCGTGTCATGTTTTACAAAAGAAAGTAATGAATATTTTACTTTCTTGAATCTTGTGGTAAGTCATTCTTTTACGTTAGTATAACCATGGCTGATGACAAATGGACAAGGATAACATAGTTTGGTTTATTTGATGCCTTAGTAACTGCATCTCTCACTTCATCTACAGGACCTAACCCTGTGTTTGATTTGAAAGAAATGGTAGGGAAAGTAAGATTTGTACAGGTTTCCCTACCTTTTCTTTCAATGAAAAGCTATGTTCAATAATGAACCAGAACTTTGTGTAGGCCCGATAAGCCGAATCATGTAAATTTTAAAATTTGTGTGAAGAATGAATATGTTATTGTTGATTTCCTTTGCTGCTCTCTGCTATTCTTCCTTCTCTTTACAACAATTATACACTATTTACTTGAAATAAAAAGTGGTGTGAAGAATGAACAGTGTTACTATTGAATTGGACAAAACCGTCATTGTGAACTCAGGATACAATTATGGGTGTGTGGGCGTTTGTAATGGAGCCAACTGAGCCCAGAAAACCTTTGTCAAGTAGTCAGAATAAATCCCTAAAAACTCCTCTAGGAAAATGTAATTCTACGATGTATATTATAAAATAAACCTCAACTGCCTATGTTACTCGTGGAATGTTAAGGTTTTATGTTAAAAAATTAAAAACTAGCAACAAAAGGTGGGATGTAGTGTCTATGTGTGGACTTCAGGATTAAGCATGTTGCCAACCCACAGTCACAGGCACAGGGTTCTCTACATGGTGGATGGTTTTGACTGTCCACATCATCCACCATGTGTAAGAAAAAAGGTAGGTCATGTAGTGAGGCGTCCTATTTGTTGAGGTGCAAATTGGGTAGGGTACCCTACCCATCTTAAAGAATTTATATTGCATTGGGCCTGAACCCTCGATCCAGGCCAGGCCCACTGAAATTTTAACAAATGTTCAACCCAAACAACCACCCCCAAGTTGCACTTATGTCTGCTTCACCTGGTTTGGAAACTGTTCTCCTCTTTATACAGAAAACAGTAGCTTGTATTTCTCAGTCAACAACTAGAAAGCTGATAATGCCAATTGACCAAAAGCTTTGATAATGAGTCGGTTGGGCATGACTCAGTTGCTGGGCTTGACGTGAAACAGACATGGGTATTGCTGTTGGTGAACATTTTTCCAACATGATGTTGATCCTAGTGTATGTGCAGTTTTACCTGCACGTAAAGAGAATGAGAGCAACTTCACAGTATCGGACCCGAGACACCAACCTCTCAAACAATATGCAAGAGAGAATAGCTTAATCTGATTAGAGCTAAAGCTGAGAGGATAATTTTCCTTTCTCAGTAAAGGGTTTTTCTCATTGTGTTGAAGCACTTGGGAGAGGTCCCTTAAATAGTTGCTCCTCCAACGTTAAGTTCCTTCACATTAGGAACAATAGTTATCAGAATAACCAATTGAGATAAGCATTAGTATTTATGCTCCACCAGATTTGAGACAAGTGTCTCAACTTGACCAAGGGTCTAACCACTTGGTCACCCAGTCTAGACTAGGTCAAATGGACATCCATTGACCCAATAAGAGCTGGAATRTGGATCCAAATTATCCAACAACATTGGTATCTCCATGCATGAAAATGTTTTTAAATAAGCAATCAAATAAWTTTGTTTTTATAGAAAATAAATAAATAGGTAATTATTTAAAAATAAATGATTGTGTGTGAGAGTGTTGCATGGAGATGACCATCAACTATCAACCATCAACATGTGGCTTGTCACATGGCCATTGGATATTCCAACATGTTGAGGATTAAACGAGGGCCTATGGCCACTCCACCATCACATGAAACGTACGATGGGCCCATTAAGGGAGTCATAGTCATACAGATGAATTAATAAATAATCGAGAGTTGATGCACACAAACACACAAAGTTGATGGAAGTTCATGGGACTGGAATAGTTATGGTATTGGTGGCTAATACAAATAAATTCTTCTATTGCTTTGCTGGTATGGCTAGCAATAGCATTTGTGTTAAGTTCATTGATGGGTTTCATGTTTGTGTGCTTGCGTGACTATCACTGCCACTTGTATAATAATAATATAAGGGAAAATTTCATTTTAGTATCCTCAATTTTGGGGGTAGTGTCAAGTTAATAACCAAACTTTCAAACGTGTTACTGCAGTGCCTAAACTTTTAAAAAGTGTTCAGTTGGTCCCTATCGTTAGCTGACCATTAGTTATCGGTTGAAAATATCAAAACTACCATTTAAAAGAAGACATTGTTTATCGTCAAAACTACCTTAAGACTGAACCGGTTGAAGTGTTTGAGATTCTAGACTAATGAAGTCATTGTCTTCTACCTTTAGATTTGAAACACATTCTTGTCTAGTTATTTCTTTGCTTTCAGTTATTGTTTCCCTCTATCATATTTCATGGTTTTTCTCTCTTTTTTTTTTTTTTTTTGAAGATAACCGGTTCAGTTTCAAGGTAGAAGACATTGAACAATGTCTTCTTTTGAAGGGTAGTTTTGACATTTTTAACTGATAACTAACAGTCCATTAACGGCAGGGACCAACTTAACACTTTTTGAAAATTTAAGTATTGCAGTGATACATTTAAAAGTTTGGGTACTAGACAGTAGACACCACTCCCAAGGTTGAGGGTACTAAAGTGGAATTTTCCCACTTGACACTTATTATTGTTATTATTTATGGTGACGATGATATGTTTGTTCACTTGTGTAGATATTGTTCTGATTTCTGGTCATGGTGTTAATAGCCAGCAGCCTCCTTCTATCTATATCGATCTGGATATGCCCTCCCTCCCCCACAGGCCACAATCCACATGCAACTCTGCGTCTTGAAGTGGCAGGCAGAGATCATACACACACTGATGCCCTGAAGAAAATGCTAACTGAACACGGGTCAGCTAGCTGGAGCCTGGAGGTGAAACAGTGAGGAGCATGGAAGAGAAGCTGGCCTACATTGCAGTCAAACTGTGATCTCAGGAGCACTGGCATGGTTGAAACTTGAAAAGAACCACCACTTAGCTGCCTGCTGATGGGGCAGGTGACGCATGCAACAGCGTTGGAACGACAGTGACTCGATCGGTTTCTGATGCCTGCAGCCTAAGAAGAACCACACCAACTTTGCACAAAGGTGAACATGTCAGACTTGAAATAACTTGCCATTTTATGTTTAAAAGTTATTGCAGGTTATATACATTGCCATTTTTCTGTTCACTTCATTTTCATTCATTGATACAATCTTTTTAAGGGTGTGATACTGATGGGTTTTATATTTGCCCAATTTTGTGTAGACTAACACACACACACATATATATATATATATATATCAGTACTCTTGTAAGTGAAAATGAACTTTTATTGACAAAAATCCCAACAGAAGCAGACCACCTTACAAAATGGTCATAGAGCATACAGCAGCATAGTATGCGTATGTGTATATGTATGACTCAAACAATGTGATTTTGGAAGAGAGCCTGGAGAATATCATTTGCACCCCCACCCTATACTAAATAGCAATATCCATATCCATATCCAGATGAGTAAAGACCAGAAGAACCAACCAACCAAGAAAAGAGTAGTTGGAGCGGGTAGGTTAGGTGTATGTGGATATTAGGGACTGGGGAAAGGCTTTGATAAATCACAATTTCTCGTGAATTTGAGACGCCGTTGCAGACACGGGATAAATCACAAAGAGGCAAAGACCCCCACAGTGATTTTTGAACACCATCAATATTCCATGAAAAAGATAAAGAAGAATATCGTGAGGGGTGTCGGGCTTGCCCTGAATCAAGGGTCGCAGGAAATATGTTCTCCGTGACTGATAAAAATTCACCTGATTGTTTACTAATTTTTACGGTGTCAATTGATTTCACCTCATTTCGCTATTAAAAATGATGAACGTTTCCGGGATGTGCGGACGTTGTGAGGCGCAGATTTGAACTCTTCACTCTTCAAAATATTTGTAATGCACAGCTGTAATGTCTAAGACATGTGGGAACAGGTGGTGGTAATATATCCCAGCACCATTCAACTCCTAATCCGTTTCCACTTTCCACCACACGACGATGGTGAAGTCATGTGGGAACAATTTTTTAATAACACACTATAAGAGATCTGGAATTGAATGTTGACCGTTCTATGTTCTCACGGAGTATGGATGTAGCCGTGACATGGGTGTGAAGACGTTCTCACGTTGTTGAATGCACGTGGGAATGGTTTGTAGGTGCCTCGTGCTGTTGAATGTTGACCATTTTATTTCTCTGTCTATCATGTCCGGCCCCACGTTGGAGCATATTCATCGACCCCAGATTTTCTACAAACTTTTTATCCGCCGTCAATTAGAGCCACACATCTCTATTACGTGTCTCCAAATAGAAAATCCCGAATGGTATTCGTCATCGTGATGAGTTCAAATCAGTTCTACAACGTCTTATATCATTATTAGAAAGAAAGATGTTTCTAATATACGGCAGGGATGTGCTGATTAGATCTCCACCGTAACACATTGATTCAACTTTTTTTCTGCTGAGCCTCATTTTGGACTTTGAAGAGCTGCAAATACGGTTACGGTGTAAATACATAAAACAATACAATATTTACTGAACCTCAACCTCCCTCTTTCTCCGATCAGTAAACAGGAGGACGGCAAAGACAACTTGAAGCACCATTATTAAAAAAATCTACCAAAAAAAAAATACTCCTGCAGTCTAGTCTGCTCGACTCCAAGTCTGCAACTGCATCTCGACTCTGGACTGACTCATGAGTCATGACATGAAGTCAACAATTAAGATATAGTTAAGATCTCGATGTACAAGAGTAAAGAATCAGCCTTCGCTACCTTATCACCACCACCATCAGTCATATCTGAGACTATTCACGGAGAGAGAAAGGAGAACAAGGAGATCCTATGGAGCTTTTGGAACCTTCCCCTCCTGAACCGTCTGGAGATGACTCCATCCAACTCTTTGATTCCCCTACTTTCCCACTTGCCTTTCACCTGGGACTTCGAGGCCCTCACATTGTTCCCCTCTCGCCGGAAATTGCAGTAGACGGTGCTGACATTGTACATGTGGCAGTCGGAAATTCTATAGAAAAAACTATAGCTTTGCTTTATTGGACGTTCCGGCGTTTCAAAAACCTATATATATGCCTTCTTCATATTCATCAACCTTCTCCCACGATTCCCACCCTCTGTAAGTTTTCCTCCTCTTCTCTCACCTCTAATTTTCCCTGCCAATTTTGCCTCTTTTTCTCAAAGAATTTGTTTGGTGTTTTTTCTTTTTCATCTTTGCTACTGATATTCGGACTTCAAGATCGATTTGTCGGCTTCTTTTTTATCAGTTGGTTCCGGCTATTCATTAAATATTAATCTTCAATTTCATTTTGTTAATCAGGTTTTAGTCTATTTTATCAGTTTCTTCTTCAACAGTACTTACAAATACATACAATCTTCATTATTTTCTTAATTAGATTTTGGATTCCCTTCCTATTAACTTCATTTTGTTTGTGCTTCATTATTAACCAAATTTCCTTCTCTCCATGGCGGTGGGCTAATAAGTTTTAAATTTATGTAGTAGGAAAACTTCCTGCAAATCAAGCAAATCAGGAAACGGTATCTGCTTATAGAAAAGAAGAGATGGAACGGACCAAGAAACTTCTATTTAATTACTTGGGCATCTGCCATAGAGCTAAGGTCTTCTGTCTCATGATTCTTTTGTTTCCAAAAATAAATGATAACTGTAACATCAGTAGTGATAGATCTCTGGATAAAAAAACTGCATATTTGGAAAGAAATATAAAATACTAGGACAATCTGCACTTTCATGTATGTTAGTGGTATGGACCATTTCCTTCTGTATGCAAGGAAATGAGGATTAGTCATTTTATTTGGCATTTAGGATTTATTCGGTCCTGGCTTACCTTAGCTGTCTGCAAATTTGCGAAATCTTGCACCTGAGGGAGATGCGGAAAGAAGACATGGGACAGGGAGAGGGAATCTTTAAAGCAGCTTATGTTCAATAAAAGTGATTGTTAAGTCAGTTTGTGTGAGTTGACATATGCCCTTTGGGGCTAACAGAGAGGTGCTCTGAAACTTCTTTCAACCACTAACTGGATCTTAAGAAACTGCCTTTTGTGCCCTCATTTCCCGAAATAAGTAGTCCCACTCCTACCCCGATTCATTGTCCCCATTCTTGGCTGCTAAAACTATGACCTCCCTAATACCAAATTGGTGCAATGAGGTGTGTGCATCATAAAAATGTCTCTAAGGTGGCAAGAATCTAAAAGTCTAAAACTATTGTCCTCACCTGCCTTAGTTTGTCTATGGTCTTTCTGCTTATAATCTCCGTTGATGCAAATAAGTGGTTTTCTTCTTTCTCAGTATGGTGTTTATGCATGAAAAGGTTGTCTGGAAGAGAAGTCTCCATGGTTTCCTCTTTATCAACTAATATTTTCTCTTACAGTTGATTTGTACGTGAGCCTCCTCCAAAATGTGAAAGGGGATGTGATGATAGATACTTTTCTGGGCAAATAAAATTTGAATTAGAGATCAAGTTTCAGGAATCAGGACCCATTGACGTGTTGGAACTTACTGAGTTTGAGCAATCATGTTGAACAAAATATTTGTTGGTTATCTGCCATATTCAGGAAAAAAGACACAAGGGAATCTATATATTCAGAATGGTTTGGCAAGGAGCCTTCTGAATAATCTTAATGACTTGACCTATAAATGGAGATGGAGAAGTCCAAGTAGGCCTGTCAATACACCTGAAAATCCGCAGCTTGATCCAACATCCGATCCGATTATGTTATAATATTTATTCATTCTAATATAACAAATGTTATATAATTATATTTAAAATTATAAAAAGTATATTTTTACATATTATATTATATATGAATTTATATATATAATAAATTCAGTATGTTATATTTACATTAATTTATTACATATAAAACTTGAAAAGTAATTAACTTTTTAGTTTTTTTGTATTTTAAAAAATTAACACGAAGTCGGATTAAATCTGAATCCAATCTGAGTTTGGTAAGATTCGAATTCAAATCCAATGTCTTCAAATCCGATGGGATTTCGGATTGGATTTGGATGCAAGTTTTCAATAATTTGATCGGATTCGTATTTGCTGAATCCAATCCAAATCCAATCTGATTACATACCTAGGTCCAAGTGAATCTCATCAGAAGGAATTCTGAACCTACAGTGGAGGATTTTTTAGTGTGGTTATGTTTCCCCCTTGTCAGTTATAAAGAAAACATATATTTTATTGATCATAATTTTCTATGTTGCTAGAATATCCAAAAAAAGATATTCTTATGAAGATCAATATACACAAAACATATGTATTATTATGAATATCCTATTATTTATTATCTCATCTCACAAAAAGTAATCATCATGTTGCAGGTTAAAGCAAGCATCATTGCAATTGAATCTGGCCAAGTACAGAAAGGTATTTTAGATCTGGTGAACATGCGTAGCATCAAGAAGCTTGTAATGGGTACAGCATCAGATAAGTAAGTCCTTTGCCTTCTTTTCTTTTATTTTTAATACCCAATGCCATTGATAAGCACACTTTATTTTGCTGCACGCAGTGATGGATCTTGAATTCAAAATTAGGACACCAGTCTTTGTCTCAACCTGCCAAATCTTCTTGGTTTCCCACGTGAAGCTAGGAACCTGGTTAATAACTGGGTCAGGCCTGGTTATGATGGAGCCACCGGATAGGTTCCAGACCAACCAAATTCAATTTTCAACATGCATGCTCATATGAGTGTATTTATTGGTTGGTTTTGAATTGGACGCTAACCGTTGCTACTGAAATCCAGTCTCTGTTATCAACAGAGATGAAGCAGGGCCCTCACTTCTAAAACCAAAATGAAACTTATAAAAATGGCAACAGTAAATAATGGAGACCATGTCTTGATGTTCATTTTGTTTTCAAGTCCATTATAAACAATTTTCCATAATAATGACAAAATACATAGACAATCAAAAGGAAAGGTGACACAATATCAAGTTCTGTAATGACACAGCTAAAAATGTGCAGATATATTAATCTCTAACCCTCTCTAGCTGTGCCTAGAGGATATTCAAGGGTTAAGTAATAAATATGGAGAGCCGAGAGCATGGTACTGAAGACCTATACTTATAAAATGTTCTTGGTCAACCCCCTGGGAGAAAGTTGAGCTGAGTTATTGGCTGCTATTCATGGGTGACTTCTTAATTAATTGACTGCAGATCACATCAGGCCATCAAGTGACATATTTATTCTCCTTTGTTCAACATAACTACAAAAGATTTATTTGGGATTGGTGGCCTTGTAGTGGTCGTTTTGTATATTTTAGGTGGTCAATTTAGAATGCTAATTTGCATGAGGTAATAGATGCATGGATGTCTGGATGATGAATTTGATTGTATTCCTAGTTCAGGATTTTTAATGTATGTCTCTCCAAGAAAAAAAAAAACAAAAAAAACAAAAGAAATAAAACAGCATTGAAGTATGGTTTTAGAAGAAAACTAACAACAAAAAAACGGTTTTACAAGAAAATTCAAGATTAAGATATTTGTATTGCTGGAAAACAATCTTCAGCAGTAAAAGAAGTAAATTATGGCTTGAATACTGATTGAATCAACTTAAGTGGAAATATGAGGGATATGTTTAGGTGGTGATTTGATCAATTAGGTGATTATTTATTTATTTATTTATTTTTGATAAGTTAGGAGATTACTTATTTATTTAATTCATTGCGTTATTTGATTTTTTTTTTTTTTTGTAGATTACCCTAGTAAGTAAGTTAGGCAAGGGATATGTGGGTGTATTTTTCCCATAAATAGATGTTATATGTGTATGACTATGATTTGCAAAGACCAATCCATACATGTCTAACATGCATTTTTGGACCATGGCATATAGAGTTAGAAGGATAAGACCTGTTTTATACCCTATTTGTTGGGACATGGGACCTTCATCATATTGTTAAAAGGCTGTTAATTCTCTAAGTATAGTACTGTAGGGGTACTATTGTAATTTTCTCCTTTTATTTTTATATCCTGTCGCCCTAGTATATATACCAAAAACTGGCGCCGCCAACAGTAATTTAGGCTCTCAGATCTCTCTTCTCTTTTCTTCTCTCTCTCTTCTTTCTTCCTCTCTTCTTCTCTCTTGCATAACATGGTATCAGAGCGGGGCTATCAGATCTAAAAGGAGAGGTCGAGTGAACAGTTTCCTTCACACCAGATTTCCAGATCTGCCGCCCACACCTACTGTTCAGCTGATTGAAGATCAAGGTTTTCTCACGCACTGAAGTAACTTCTCTCCTTCTCTTTTTTTTTTTTTCCTGGTCGTGTGCTAGGGCAAAACCTGTACTAGGTCTATTGGTTGGATGTGAGGTGATCAACACCTCTTTCTTTCCTTTTTTGTGGGGTCGGCTAACCCCTGTATAAACTGTAGGTCGTGAAGGCCTTTTGTGTGCTGCAATAGTAGCTTTTATGGTGCACTGAAGGTCAGAGAGTAACCTGTACTTGCTGTAACAACATTTCTGTTGATGCGTAGGCCAAGAGATGACCTGTATGCACTGTAATAGCACTTGTGTTTTACAGAAAAGGGTTGTTTTTTCGAAGAGAAGAAGGGGTTTCCTTTCTCCCTTGGTGTTAGACCTTTTTTTTAAAGGTTTTGTGCCCACTTTAAGAGTTTTTGAATCTGTAGTCATGAGTGGTGAAGATTCTGCTACATCCGGTGTTTCCTCAATGCAGAATGGAATGAGTAGGGGTGTGGACCTATCCTTTCCCATGGCTGTTATTCCTCTCGATGGCTTAAATTATTTAGAGTGGTCAAGAGGGATCAAGCTATACATCACTGCAAGGGAAAAGATAGGTTATATAAATGGGAGAATTAAAGAACCCAATTCTGGGAGTGCTGAATATGACAGATGGAATCAGGAAAACATCATGGTCATGTCCTGGCCTTTAGTGTCTATGCAACATCAAATAAGAAGGAATTTTATGTGGGATGAAACGGCAAATGAGATCTGGGAACAAGCAAAATCAACCTATTCTGAACTGCATCACTATGCAAAAATCTACCAGTTACAGGCAGAACCGTCCACTTGTAAACAGGGGGAGGAGAGGTGTCTGTCTATGTACTATTCAGACTTGACCTCTGTTTGGAAGGAGTTAGACCATTATCGGAGTGTGGACTGGAAGTGTGATGAAGATGCAAAGTTGTACAAAAAACTTGTTTTCCAGTAAAGAGTGTTTGCTTTCCTACATGGCTTGAACCCTGCATATGAATCTATCAGAGTCCAGATCCTAGGTAGCAAAGATCTTCCATCCGTCCAGGAAGTTTATGCTCTAGTACAATCAGAAGAAAGCGGAAGAAATTTGATGAACAATTCTATAGGGGATGCAGTCGTGTTGGCAACAAAAGGGAGTGTTACTACAGGTGGGGGAAATACCTTTAAGAAAGGGGATTTTCAGAAAAAGGTGGATGACAAGGACAAACTATGGTGTACTCATTGCTAGAAACCCCAACACACCCAAGACACATGCTGGGATCTTCATGGGAAGCCGAAATGGGCTCAAGATCTGAGTAAGAAGCAATGTTCAAATTTGAATAAAAAGTCAGGACAACAAGGTACAAGAAAGCACACCATGGCAAATATGGCTACTCAGGTACTCTACCATAGTTGGTCAAGGAACCATTTTTCTTCCCTTTGGCCTTACCCTGTCTAATGTTTTACATGTCCCAAAATTTCCCATTAATTTGTTCTTTGTTAGTAGTATTACTAATTCCTTAAACTGCTCAGTGACCTTTTTCCCTTCTTACTGTGTGATCTAGGATCTGGCCTCGGGGAAGACGATTGGTAGAGGATGTATAGTGGATGGGCTTTACATGCTGGAGAATAAGGCTAGTCTTCAAGTCACAGAGTCTAAGAGTCAGGTCTATTTATGGCATAGTCATCTTGGTCATTTATCTTTTGAGTTTTTAAAAATTGTGTTTCCAAAGTTGTTTAAGTTAGTATCAGTGTCGGAATTTACTTGTCAAACTTGTTAATTGAGTAAGTAGTGTAGAACTCATTTCTCTTCAAAGAACAATAAATCTAAATTTCCTTTCCACATTGTTCATTTTGATGTTTAGGACCCTATTACTTTACCATCTGAGAGTGGCTACAAGTATTTTCTTACCATTATCGATGATTACTCTAGATATACATGGGTATATCCCATGCGAACCAGGGATGAAGTACCAAATATTATCCAAGATTTTCAGCGGATGATCTTCACCCAATTTCAAACTGAAATCCAAATTTTTCAATTGAATAATGCCAAAGAATATTTTCATAGTGATCTTACGGAGTTTTTTGCTTCGCGTGGCTCACTTCACCGTAGCTCTTATGCCCCAACACCACAACAAAATGGTGTTGCTAAAAGAAAGAACCGACACCTTCTTGAAGTGGCCCAGGGATTACTATTTAATATGAATGTCCCGAAACATTTTTGGCTTGAGGCTGTCCTTTGTGCTACCTATCTCATCAACCGCATGCCCTCTCGTTGGTTAGAGTGCAAAGCCCCACATCAGCTTCTTTTTCCTAAGGCTCCCCTTTTTTCTATTCCTCCTTGTATCTTTGGTTGTCATTGTTTTGTTCAGAATTTGTCTCTCACTCGTGGAAAATTAGATCCTCGTGCCATTCCTTGCATCTTCTTGGGGTACTCCTTCACTCAAAAGGGATACTGGTGCTTTGATCCTATTTCTCGAAAGTTTTATGTTTCTATGGATGTCTCCTTTGAGAGTGGGTCTTTCTTCCCTATTTCTCCTCAAGGGGAGTGTAGGAGTGAGGAAAAACTAGTTTAGCTCCCTCCTCTTCCTTATCCTCCTCCCTTTCGTGTCTTCTTTCGTCGTTACAAAGGCCAACCATGTTCAAGAGCTGTGAGGCACCTAGAAGTTGTACCACCAATGCCATCACTCTCTGGGGGCGGATCATACCCATTCAAGTACCTTGGTTCCTTTTGATGTTCCTGACCCTATTGCTATTGATACTTTTGTTGCTAATGACCTTGACCTTCCTATTGCTCACCGAAAATGTGCTAGATCTTGCACCACTAAACACCCCATTTCCCACTTTGTTTCCTATGAAAACATTTCACCCTCCTTTCGGGCCTTTCTCTCTTCCATTGATAGTGTTCCTATCCCTAAGAATGTGGCAGAAGCTCTTTCAGTACCTGAATGGGCAGATGCTATGAAGGAAGAAATTAATGTTTTACATATAAATGGCACATGGGAACTAGTAGATCTTCCTGAGGGAAATGATCCAATTGGATATAAATGGGTTTTCACAGTTAAACACAGGGCTGATGGCACCTTGGAACGGTATAAAGATCGTTTAGTGGCAAAGGGGTTTACACAAGTGTATGGAGTAGATTATGTAGAAACATTTGCACCTATTGCTAAGATGAACTCCATTAGAGTCAGTTTCTCCCTAACTGTTAATCTTGATTGGGATCTTCATCAGCTTGACATCAAGAATGCCTTTTTGAATGGTGACCTTGAAGAGGAAGTATACATGGTACAACCCCCTGGTTTTCGGGCTCAAGGTAATGAATAGAAAGTGTGCAGGTTAAATAAATCATTATATGGGCTGAAACAATCACCAAGAGCCTGGTTTAGCAGGTTCCATGTAATAAATAGTACAGGAAAGAGGATACAAGCAGTGTCAATCTGATCACGCATTGTTTGTGAAAAGAGGGGAAGGGAAAATTGCAGCACTGATAGTATATTTTGATGATATAGTTATCACTGGTGATTGGAAGGATGAAATTCAAAAGTTGAAGAATTTTCTTGCTACCCAATTTGAAGTGAAGGATCTAGGTCCTCTAAGGTACTTTCTTGGGATTGAAGTGGCCCGCTCACAAAAGGGTATCTTCATTTCCCAAAGAAAGTATGTCCTAAATCTACTCCAAGATACAAGAAAATTGGGAGTGAAGCCAGTTGATTCCCCTATTGATCCTAACCACAAAATAGGCGGCTGTCAAGGTGAATCCATCAAGGTTGTGAAACAGTTCCAGAGACTTGTAGGAAGATTGTTATATCTTTCTATGACTCGACCAGACATAGCTTATGCAATGGGTATTCTTAGTCAATTCATGCATGCCCCTAAGATTACCCATCTTGAAGTAGCAGAAAGAGTTCTCAAATATCTTAAGAAGTTCCCAGGTGCAGGCTTGTTGTTTCAAAAGCATGGACATCTGAAAGTTGAAGTGTATACTGATGTAGATTGGGCAAGATCCCTGAATGACAGAAAGTCAACTAGTGGCTACTGTACCTTTGTAGGAGATAAATCTAGTTACCTGGAGAAGCAAAAAGCAGAATGTGGTAGCTAAATCTAGTGTTGAAGCTGAATATCAGGCAATGTCTCATGGAGTGGCTGAAATTATGTGGCTAAAAAATTTGTTGAGTGAGTTGGGTTTTCCAGTTGATGGACTTATGACCCTATTCTGTGATAACAAAGCAGCCATAAACATTGCTGCTAATCCAGTGTTGCATGATAGAACTAAACACATTGAAGTCGACAAACACTTTATCAGAGAAAAGGTCGTCAAAGGGGAAGTGTGTACTCCTTATGTTAGCTCTGAAGATCAACTTGCAGACATCTTTACAAAAGGGTTACACCACTCACGGCATCATGATTTATGTGACAAGTAGGGCATGATTGGCATCTATGTCCCAACTTGAGGGGGAGTGTTAAAAGGCTGTTAATTCTCTAAGTATAGTACTGCAGGGGTACTATTGTAATTTTCTCCTTTTATATCTTGTTGCCCTAGTATATATACCAAAAGATGGCACCGCCAACAGTACTTTTGGCTCTCAGATCTCTCTTCTCTCTTCTTCCTCTCTCTCTTCTCTCTTCCTCTCTTCTCTCCTGCATAACATTGGCCACAACCTTCCATTTTAAGGAACCTTTTGAATTCCTTTTCTTTAAAGGAAATACTTAAGGACCTGTCTAAATGGGTATAATCCGTATTGTTGAGTGGGAACTCTTCTAATCAAAAGCCATTTGCACTTTTGAGTACTTGATCTTTTTATATACTGAGGAGAGGTGGAATTATTAAACATGTTTTTATCTATATTCAGAATTCAAAGATAAGAATTTGCTGGTATTTGTTGTTACTGCTACCTTGGTTCAGTGTCTACTGCCAATTATTATTAATCAGCTAACCACTTACCAACTTTAATGACTTGCATGATATATTTTCTGCTGCTGTTGGTTATTTATTATGAAGTTTTGCTCCATGCTCTTTCTGCAAGTAGCCAAGTATGCAATTTTTATGTTGCTATGCAGCTGCATGAAGGTGAAGAACTCTACCAAGGCAAATTATGTGGCCAAAAACGCTCCTGCATTCTGTCAAGTCTGGTTTGTAAACAAAGGAAAACATGTCTGGACAAGGGAGTCTTCTGAAAGTCCAAACGTCCTGCCACCTGAAAATGTACATGCAGAAAGATTAAGGTCTAGCTTACCACATAATCATAAACCTGAAATCATATTTAATCCAGAATGTTTTAGATCCACTTCTATTCCTGGGAGAGTATCTAATGGAGTCAGTAGCTGCAATCAATTGGAACAAGATGAAACAGAAGAGACTTTATCTACCAGTGGATCCTGTTCACTAGATAGATTTGACCTAATTGGCACAATTTCTGGGCATGCTTCATCTACTGAAAGAAGGGTGTCATCAGAGTCGGATTTAAATTTAGAGAAAGAAAGACTATATAATCAGCTTGAGGAAGCAAGGAGAGAAGTTGAGGCATCAAAGAATGAAGCATGTGTGGAGCTACTGAGGTCCAAAAAATTGGAATTGGAAGCCATTGAAGCTATCAACAAGGTAGTGTTGATGTTATTCCCTTGCTTACTTGTTAGTAACCTATGCTATACCAGTTCCATAACCACAATTCAAAAACATGTTTCTTGAGAAGACTGCATTCCTTGCTCTACTAGGTCAAAGATTTTGAAGCTTCCTTCTTACACGAAGTTGAGCTCAGAAAAGAGGTTGAGGAAGCACTTAGAACTACTCGACAAGAACAAAGAAATCTCTTAGAAACAAGGGAAGAAGTGATAAGAGATCTACAGAAGACCATGAGAAATGTAGCTATACTTGACATTCAGACCCACGAAGCCATGCGTCGGCGAGATGAAGCCACTGGAGAATTAAGGCTCATCCAAGCTTCCATAGAAACTCTCCGACATGAAGGGCAGAGGATCCAGCAACAAAAAGAGGAGGCCTTATGTCAGCTGAAACGGTGGAGAAGTTGTAGCCAACATGGAGCAACGAAAGGTAAAGGGTTAGATGGGTTTGTCAATCACCTGCCCATGTTCACAGAGTTTTCTCGGTTGGATCTACAAACTGCAACATGCAACTTTTCAGAGAGTTTCAAGATCGGGCAGGGAGGATATGGTTGTGTTTATAAAGGAGAGATATTTGATAGAAGTATTGCTATAAAGAAATTGCATCCGCATAACGTGCAAAGCATATCAGAGTTTCAACAAGAGGTGAGCTTCCTCTCCTCCCCCCGCCCTCTTTCTTGTGCATTTCCATTAAGGCTTGATACAATAATAACAATAACAACAACAAAAGATAGAAGCCATCTTTTCTTTTCTTTTTTTTTTTGGAATGGCAAATGGAAAAGCTGCTTTCCCCTGTCTATTACATGAAGACTACAATTTTGGGGAATTTTTCCCCATTAATCAATATGTGTCAACCAACAGATCAGCCATTGGATTTTCCTCTTAATTCTTTTCATGGATCATTCACCACACCATAATTTTTCTAATCATCCCAAAGAAAATGAAATAGGCGAACTCCTTTGAATTATTAGATGAGGATGCTTTTCAGCCTAGGATATCTAATTGGGAGGACATGTCAAATGATGGGCTCATTCCTCTACCATGTATTCATCATGTTCAACATTGAAAGGGTTAATGATTCTTTTTGTTCTGTTCAGGACTCGGGGTTTCTTTTTCTTTTTTTTTTTTTTTTTTGAGAAGAGGTAAAGCATGTATTTCATTAAACTACCCTTCCAGGACTCAATTTGTTCATAAATAACATTGATTATAATAAAGAAATAATGATTGCATTATTATCGGGCTTTCATTGACAAGCCAAATAGCATTCCTCATATGAATTTAACATCTTCTGTTTTCATACAAGCAGGTTGTAGTTCTCAGCAAACTACAGCATCCTCATCTAGTGACCTTAATTGGTGCCTGCCCAGAAGCATGGTCCCTTGTCCATGAGTACTTGCCAAATGGGAACCTCCAGGATCACCTCTTCTTTAGGAGAAACAATCCTCCCCTGACCTGGAAGACCCGAATGCGAATTGCTGCCAGAGTTTCAAGTGCCCTCCTCTTCTTGCATACTTACAGACCCGAGAAAATGATCCATGGTGACCTTAAACCTGAAAATATCCTTCTTGATTCAGAATTCAACTGCAAGATTGGAGATTTTGGGATTTGCAGGCTTGTCCCTGAGGAAACTGCACGTTGCCCAAGTTTTCGCTGGAATACAGAGGGAAAGGGTGCATTTCCATACATGGATCCAGAAATAGAGAGGACTAGAGACCTGACATCCAAGTCTGATATCTACTCCTTTGGGATCATTATTCTACAGCTACTCACTGGCAGGCACCCAGTAGGATTAGTGAGTGAGGTGCGCCAGGCAGTGTCTTATGGAAAGTTAGCATCAATCTTGGATCCATCTGCCGGAGAATGGCCTACATTTGTGGCAAGGCAACTGGTAGACCATGGTTTAAAATTCTGTGAGTTGAACAGTCGTGATCGGCCTGAGCTGACACCAGCTATTGTGAGGGATCTGGAGCAGTTGCATCTTGCTGAAGAGCGACCAGTGCCATCTTTCTTCTTGTGTCCAATCCTCCAGGTGAGTGATAAGAATTACCTTCTTGGTTCTTTGGACTAGGCTAAAGCTTTTTGACATGGCAGTATTTAATTATGTTGATGGTTATTAGATGAGAAAGCTCTCATGTGTTCTCCCTAATGTGTGTATCATCATTCATTGACTTGAAAGTAGAAAATGTGATTTTTTTCCAAACTTTCCAGTCAAATGTGATAGACATGTTCTGATTTGTTAATTGAGAACTGTTGGCATGGAACCTTAACTTGGTTACAATGGCTTGGATGGGCCATGACATCATTGAAGCAAGACATCCAAACAGCTAGAACTGCTGCTTTTGTTATGGGTTATAAGGGTGTTAAGGATGTTAATCTTAAATCCTTGATGCCATATCTAGTCTGAGTCTGAGATTATTAAGATGGGTTAGGCCTGTATCCGGTCCACCCCTCCCAAGATCCCCAGATAGCTGGTGGGTAATGGCCTTTTTTTTTGGGAACGGCATTAAGGTCATTTGGTATCCTTAGGTTGAAGAGTGACAAAAATGAAAGAAACCCTGTGGTCTCTATTATTGGCATTCAGCTCTGTAGATTTTGGTATGAAAGTGTCTCATCTCTCATGATGTGTAATGTAGCTCACTTTAATGGGATAAAATGCCACTCTTGCAGGAGATAATGCATGATCCTCAGGTGGCAGCAGACGGTTTCACCTACGAAGGCGAGGCATTGCGTGGGTGGTTGGCAAATGGGAGGGAAACTTCTCCCATGACCAATTTGAAGTTGAGCCACCTGCATCTTACACCTAACCATGCACTTCGACATGCTATCCAACATTGGCTCTGCCAGTATTAAAATCTAATGTTACCGGAGTCTAATGTGCACACACGCCGATGCATGTTTTATCATTTCTGATCTCTACATGTATATGGATGGTTTTACATGCATGCATGTATATATTGCATCCAACATTGGCTCTGCCAGTATTAAAATCTAATGTTACCGGAGTCTAATGTGCACACACGCCGATGCATGTTTTATCATTTCTGATCTCTACATGTATATGGATGGTTTTACATGCATGCATGTATATATTGCACCCATCTTCTCTTGGGCATTCTAGCTGATTTATAATCATCATGTTATTAAGTAATGGGCTCATGCTTCAGCCACAAGGTCTATGTCGTAAAGTTATTATTTAACTATTAATGAGTTTTATATTGGTTTTTCACGCATATCATATCCATATGTATCTTGATTTTTTTCAATGTTTCGCGAGTGTATCTGACAGTTTGTACTCCACATAATTGTCAAAATGTGTTTATACCTTATCCCTGGTCAATTTTACACTTTTAATCACCCCTTCATGGAAATCTAGGCATAGCTTTGGATTTACAAGCGATAAGTTGACTGCACTCCACCTCAGAATTCTGAACTCAATTGCAGACCTATAAAAATTCAAAATTATAAATACCTTCACCTATAACACTCATATCTGTCCGTAAATTGGCATCAATTTCAGACCAGCACCTATTCCAACTGTATGGTGGAGCTAAGATTTTTAAGAGTGGACTAAACAGTAAAAACCCCTTACATTTATGCATGATTAGACATCAATAAACATGTCAATCATGCTAAAATGTTGATATGGCAAGTTATTATACACTGGTTAAACAGAAGCAACTTGGCCAAACATCCTCATAATGCTTGCATTCCATATCTTTACCAAAAGAAATGCTTGCATTCCATAGTTTCTGATCCCCAGCCTATGTTCATAAACAGAGTTTCCTAATAAGCAATTTGTATGCTAATCCATTATATAGAAGGGCAGCTCACAAGGCCAGGCTTCCACCAAGATTTGAACCCCTATTTGCAACTTTACCCCCGTATGCTAATCCATTATCCCCAGCCTAGGTAGGGATAGATGTATGCAACTTTACCTCTGTATATATAGAGAATCTGTTTCCAAGATTTGAACCCTGATCAGGTCACAATAGAGCAATCAGGCAAAACACTAACAAATGTTTGGTATAGGACATTAACTGTCAGAGCAATTTAGTGGCATTGAGGTCAGGCAAGTGATTTGAGGACTTGCAAGAGCAATCATGCTACAATGAGGGCGTCCTCATCCATCATCATAACATCTATTCAAGATAACTATGTAACATGAGAGAGAGATAGAATTTTATGAAAGCTATTCAAGATTACTCTGTAACAGGATTCTTCAAAGATGCATTCAATAAGAAATCCACTTTCAATGGTTTATTGCACTCAATAAGAAACAGTCTTTTTCAATACCCTATCTACGGGCTAGTAATGGGTTTACCGTGACGCCAATGAACGATTTCAATCGACAGATAAAATCGACAAAAGGAGAGAGAGAGAGAGAACAACCGTGTCGGTTTAAAGGAATTTTAGTATTTTACTGTTTAGGTATGGAAAAAGCCTTTGGGGCCTTTGTGACATGGTAAAATCTCGGGCCCATAACGCATTAACACGAGAATGCGTGTTTGACAGCGGCCACTTTGTGGTCTCTGCCTATAAAAAAAAATGGAAAATGCCAAAAGGTTAGGCCATTTTCCTTCTTATCTCCCTTCAGGAGTTGTTTCCACTTTCCACCACCTAGAATCCGAGCTCTTTTTCTGGCATCTGAAATATATCCATTCCTTAAACATTTAGGCAATTTTAAAAATTCCATACCTGCTTTCCAAACATAGCTTTATTCATTTCATAAAACATTAAAACCTCCGTAACCCCTGTCCTCCATTTTGTCTGTTTCTGCATCAAACAAACTTTCCACTTGTTTGTATCAATCTTTCCTTTGTGAATCCACCCACCCCCACCCCCACCTAGAAATTCTCGCAACATCTCCACCCCCATTGTATGAACTGGAATTGCTTGTGCAACTATTTAATAAGTGTTGTTCTGTGACAGTAATTTAACTCTCTTGTTTCAACAGTAATTTAAAACTCCATGAAGCCATTCTACTCTTCACTTTTTCTACCATCTCCTTACAAGTCCCCTCTTTTTGCATTCCAATCCACAACTTGGCTCCCAAGTATTGATAATATTTTCACTTCCATTATCCTTTGAAACATCTTTTCTATGTCTTCTTTGAATGTTACTGCTAAAAAACATTCTAGACTTAAACAAATTGATTTTTTGCCCACACCTCTTCAAACTTTTCCAACACTTCCTTCACTCTTTGTAATTGCTTCACATCTGCCTTACAGAACATGTAGTCATTTTATGGTGAGAAAGGATGCCCTGTACCTTAACCCCTTATTCCGTTGAAAATAATGGTGAATGTCATGTTATTTTATTATTACGTTATCAAAAAAAAAAAAAAAGTGGTTCGATTATTAGATTTAATGAAATTGTCTTTGGACATAAACAAAAAATTTAGGGAAAAAAGTTGCCTTTGGAGTTTGAACAAGCGCTGCTTTAACCGTACATGCACCAAGCCAGGAGCCTCTAACTACATCATTTAGTAACTTCATTAAAGCTCGAATGCTTAACAAACACCTCTATCAGTCACTCAACAAATGTAGTGAAGTAATATGTAGACTAGCCATCTACTGCAGTGGCTATACAAACTTATAAAATCAACATCCTTGCAAGATTTCGTCCCTGGTGAAAAGCAGTGAGGCAGTAATCTGATTTTCAGTATGGTTGAATGGATGATCTTTTTCCACAGAATATTCAATCTTAAGTTCATCCATTTGACCACCCAAAAGAGGTTTTGATTCTCTAGTGTTGTCTTGATCTTCAAGTTCTTCTACTAGCAAGTCCTCCATCTGCTTAGTGGGTGCAATGTTTTCCTTGGAACTAATTTCATCATCATATTTGTCAAGCCTCCGACCTTGATTAGAGACATTGCAAGAGCTTGAATCTTTTGTTGGGTTGTCAAGGACCACATTGCAATCCTCATAAGTCGATTGTGTTTTCTTGGCGTTTTGGGTTAAATCTGCCTCCTTGGAGGACGAGAATTGATCGTCTTGGTTGCCTGGATTGCAGTAGATAGAATTAGACCTACTGAGATATGACCCTTTGAAGCTTCCATCTGCTGAAGAAGATCGTTGGCAGAAGCTCCCAAATCCTTCAATACCACGTGTGAGCTTTCGAGCTTGGTTCCTCTCTTCCTTGAGGAGAGGCCCTTTATCAAGTAACTTCAGTACCCTCTCGGATTTCCTTCTAACAGCAAGGCCCCAGTTGAATCTGTATTAAAACGACAGAATCCACCTAGTATAAGTGGCAAAAATAACAGAGACAAGAAGCAAACCAATAACCCAATAAAAAAGATCTTAGATTGGATTAGGGACCCTTTTTCATCGATGTACTGAAAGGTTTCCATCTCCCCAATGACGTTTTTGTCGCTCTGAAACTCCTCCGCAACGCTCTCGGGTCCATGGGTCAGAAGGTGTTCCAATAAAATCACAGCCTTGTAAGCAATTCTCCAATTTTTTCTATCAAATCTCGACAACCTGAATCACATGGAGTCATGGAATGAAAAAGAGTTAGAGGTGAGGGACTGAGGGGTAAAATCCCACAAATTGAATTACAAAAGAAGAAACCCAGGAACCTTGTATGAAGAATGTCCACAATCCTCCAATAATCATCCACTTCAAAAGCCGCCCGCGATATCAAACCCATAGTTCGGGTATCCGGTGCCCATGGATCACCATTGGTGGCTTCTTCCGTTAAGCTTCAATCCCAGCCCCCCCCCCCAAAAAAAAAAAAAATAAATAAATAAGTGAATGAATCAATAAACCCAGATGAAATAAGATGCATGATTAAAGCCAGATGAAAAATCAAACTCAAAAACGTGTATCGAGATCGAATAGAAAATAAGGGAAGGAAACCGATGTTAGCTTTGAGTTAAATGATACTCACAGTTGAGCGGGTGTAACGTCCGTCAGGGCCAATCGCGCCGTCCTGATCTTCTCTTTGAGGAAAAAAGAAGCATGTTTCTTAAACTCGTGGAAGAAAGGAGTACCCATGGTGCTGTTGTTGTTTCCGAGAATCGACATGTCTGTGATCGATGAAGGAGAAAGAAAAGGAAGATCTTAATTTCTTTGGGGGGAGGGGGGAGGCAATAAAAAAAGGAGGAGAATTTAGTATCGATTCCTTTCGATTTGCGTAAGCAGGAAATGCAACTGCTCCGCTGAAGCAATAAATGTCACCTAAAAGATAGAATGCAGACGTAAGAAGAGGAAGAAGCAGGAGAAGAAGTCAGCTAAGACCTGAGTGATTAAAATGGTGGAAAGAATTGAATGAGAGATCTGGACAGTAAACTGGTTGGGGGCCGGGGTGGGGACATGAACCGATGAACGTCGATGTTTCAACCTATACTTGTAACTTGGAAGGTCCCTTTCGTGTTTCGGCTTTCGATTCCAATGGGGCTCGTACAGTCTAGACCCTGGGCGGCCTTCGTCTCTGAAGTCAACATCGATTTTTTGAATTTGAAAACCACGGGCACCGGCAAAATAGAATTTTGCAAAATTAAAAAAAAAAAAAAAAAAAACAGAAGGAAATTTAGCAAAATAAAAGAGTAGACGTTTCTTCTATTATTGATAAAAAAACAATTAATGACTACGGAGGGAATATATCCTGGAGACAACACGATTCCTACTCCTACATTATATATTTAGAGATCACATCTCCGCCGTCTATTGGAAACATCTCCCGATGATAGTACTAGTTTTGGTGATATCCGGAGATATTTCCAAAACACGACAGGAATGTGTTATGAGACATTGTGGGGCGGAGATGTGATCTCATTTATATATATACGCACATACATCTCACCACAAGACCGAGACCCACCATGTGCGGGTAAAAATCATGTTAGAACTTAGAACGCAGGGGTACAACTGCATCGGATCATGCGATCCTATTTTGTTGAATTCGAATCATTCTGGTTCAGATCTTTAGATGGATAATAGGATCTAAATTGGATCGGATTTAGATTATTCTTTGATCCAATTCGATGTATGTTATATATTTATTTTTATAAATATAATATATATATATATGTTATTTATTTATTTAAATTGGTATAGTTTTATTTTTTTAATAATTTATTAGTTTTTAGACCTGATCAGATTTGAATTTAAGTCCATGTCTATCAAATCTGATCAAAACTTTGGATCAGATCAGATATATAATTAATAGTGTCGGATTGGATTCAAATATTCAAATATGCCTTAATTCGAATCCAATCTGATCTATTTACATCCCTATTAAAACCTTTTTTGCTAAAAAATGATTTGGATTTGAAGCTGGTCCTGAATCCCGATCTCTTAATTCAAAGAGAGCAAGTCTAGATTTGATCTCAACAACCATTGCAGCCGTGACATCTCTCCACAAAGGACGAGTGAGACTACTAGATCTAGTCCCAACCAAGGGACCAACAGCAATTTCAGCGATACATTGGGAATAGCTGAAATGGCTGTTGGGACCTCTCCCAACTTGGGACAAGTTGGAGCTATACATCTAGAACATCTCGTCCTTGTAACTTATCATCCACGGGGAGATGTTTTAAATGCATGATTGCAACATGTTGTGAGATTTGTGTGAAACATTCTAAGGAGCAAATCCATATCAAAGACATGATTCCTTATCTTTTACCCACAAAATACTACCTCCCCTGCATTAGGAACATCTCCCTATGCATAATAACATGTAAGAGGATGAGATGTTCCTCATGTGTGGCTGCAATGTTATGTGTGCAGGGTTGTTGCATGTGGGGGTGTACCCTATAAGGAGACCTTTTGAATTCACTACAAGGAGGTACATCCCAACTGTGTATTGGGAGCATCTCCCAAATCCCAATGACAACTACCATAGATGTTCCCAATGCATGCTAAGATGTGCATGTGGAGCACCTCGGAGTGCAGATGCGAACTCCAAAATGGCTCTCCAACATGCATAATATATGTTTCCAATACAGAGTGGGGATGTGTTTTGAGGTATCTATCAAAATTCATGAGAGATATTCTCAATGTATCATTGCAATTGTTTATTGTTGTTGTTGTTCTTACAATGTATCAGTACAATTGACTGCCCATTGTTTAGCTAATTGACCCATACCTTTATTGTTTAACTATTATCTTGTATCACCCCTATTGTTTTTGACAATTGACTAGATCTATCCCTGCCGTTAGGGTCTGTTAATATTCTATCAAAATCGGTACACATGTGACATTAGGCAATGCATAATTTTTTTTTAAACCCAATATTACCCTCTTCGTTTTTCCCCTCAATATTCTAGCCATTTCTTATCATCTTCCTCATCCCCCTCTCTGTCCCATGTTCTTTGATGACTAGGAACAGGCATTGAGATAGCCTCGCTCTTTCACCATCCCAGCCTGCATCAATCTAAACTATTTATTCCTCTCATTTCCCCTTTTCTCTCCCCACTTCATTGTAAACAAACTATTAGACCTGTTCATGGGCCGGGCCGGGCTTTGACTCTTTATTGACAAAAAAATGTTAGGCCCGAGCCCGAGCCCGGCCCGACCAACGGGCCTACAACTTGGGCCCGAGCCCGGCCCTGATAAAAAGCCCGAAGCCCGACCTAATAAAAGAAATTCAAAATTTTCCCTATTCAAATAGACATTATCTATTTTAATTCAGATGTTTTTTTTCCCTATTTAAATGAACAATGGGCCTACAAGTGAATCAACAACCTTCTCAAATCAAAAAATTTATTCAAATGAACATCACATAGGGTTTTTACTTAGGTTTAACTATAGGTTGGGCCAGGTTTACTTAGATTTAACTATAGGTCGGGTCAGGCCGGGCCGAGCTCGGGCCAAGCTATTTTGGGAAAGCCCAAGCCCGGCTCGAATTTTATGCAGGCCGGGTTTTTTGACCCGAGGTTAAGCCCGTGGGCCAAAAAGCCTGTTCAAGCCCGTCCGGGGGTCGGGCCACCTGGCCCATGAACAGGTCTACAAACTATAGATCCCTTCGAACACGGCATTACGAGAAGAATCATCCAAGGTTGCAAGAACAGAGACAACCACAACTGCTTGCTCTCAAAGCGATGGTTGATGACTGTAATCAAGCTGGATTTGAGAACGAAGACAGAAGATAATCATGCATGTCGTTCACCTCCTCCTGGATCTGATAGGATTAAGGGGTGCGATAAGAAGACAGAGAAGTTAAACCAGTCTAAAAGAAAAGCAAGCTAAATATGAGGTCAAGCTGAAACGTTGATTGTAAGGTTTAGATATTTTAAGTTACAGCAAAAGAGGGGGAAAACCATACACCATACATTACAGCTGAGGCACAGTAAAATAAAACTGCAGAAATTAGAAGAAACGTGTCGAATCAAATGTATGCCACAAAATCGACAAAAGCATCTCCGAACAAGATCCCTGGAATTTTTAATTGAACTGTTGCATCTCAGATCTTGAGTTTAGTTTCAGATAACAAAGATTAAAGTAGAGAGGCGGCGAGAGATAGAAAGAATAGTTCAAGAGCCATATAATGAAATTAAGAATCCATAGAAGAATTTGATAAAAAAGAAGAACCTCAATTAATAAACCATCAACACTCTAAACTCTTGTTGGGGCCTTGTATTTCTTTCACTGTATGTTATTTTAGTTGAAGATAGTTACAGACTTTTGGACTTTTTGTATTTGGGTTCTCTCCCAAATCTGTTTTTGTATAATGGGTTTCTAAGAAACATAAGAAAAAATGTTGTTGGTGCGATTTGTCTCAGGCATCGGACCCTGTAGCAACCCCTGCCAGAATCCCGGAACCTTGAAACCCCTCCTTCCCTTCCCATTATCAAAGCCGATGACTCCCATCCAGCACATCAAACAATAACCTGTAGTGTTGAAAAGCATAGGAGAAAGCCCAGCTTCCTGTGATGATTCTGAATAAAGAAGATGATTCTGACTTGCATAGTGCTTTTGAATAAGGTGAAAAGGGCCGGCCGAAGTCACTACCACTGGTTTAGTGGTGACAGGGGGACGAAAACTATGAGAAGAGAAGAAGAAAGAGAAAAATAAGAAATAGAATGAGAGAGAGGCCGGTAAGGTAGGCCCTGCCCTTGACTTTCGCATACGAGAGATTGGTATAGTTGGTAGACAGAGATGGAGATGGGGACGAAGATGGAGATGGAGACGGAGCAACGATGTGCTTCTTATCTTCGTGAAATGTGGATTTTATTTTGAAAATTTGAACAATAAAGGAGGGTAAATTTGACATTTCATGTTTTTATTTATAAAAATACAAGGCTATTTGTAATGGGGAAAACCCGAAATTGGATTGACCCCTTAAAACCGCTGAGAATCAAATCTTGTGATGAATCCAATGAGATTTCGTTGCGAGTCCAAGTGACTACCATCTACAACTTACTACACGGTCAAGTGCCATGTGATTAAAATCTAATTTTGAATTTAATATTCATCATAATCAAATTGAATTCGGATAATTCGAATATTTAATCAGTCAAATTCAGATATTTTATTCTTACCAAATAGTTAATCGGATTTGAATTTGGATATGACCTGATTCAATTCGATAAATATCCGAATTCGACCGATTATTTAATTCTTATATATAATATATAAAATATTTTATATAATATATATAATAATTAAGTTATATAAATAATTTATATACTTTATATCAATAAAATAATTATTTTATATATTTATCAATTATCTAAAATAATTAGTTAATCGAATTTGAATCAAATCGAATATTCAAATATTTAATCGGATATTAATTTTCAATATCCGTCGGATATCGAATTGAATTTGGATATCGGATTCGAATTTGGATATTGCCTTATCCGATTCGAACTCGATCCATTTACACCCCTAATTGCAATTGTCTTAACACTAAGGCCGTGTTCGGTTTAAAAGAAAAAGTAGGGAAAGGAAGGGAAATGTAGGAAAACCCTTACAAGCCTTATATAGGTTTCCCTAAATTTCCCTTCCTTTAAACCAAACATAGCTTAAGGGGGCTTTTTTTCTTTTTTTTTTTGGATTTTGAGAGGGGAAAAGTTGGTGAATGGGAATTTGATTCAATTGTAGTTAACTCAATTGCAATTGTCTTAACACTAAGGCTGTGTTTGGTTTAAAGGAAAAAGTAGGGAAAGGAAGGGAAATGTAGGAAAACCTTTACAAGCCTTGTGTAGGTTTCCCTAAGTTTCCTTATATTTTCCTTCAACCAACATAGCCCAAGGGGGCGGGTTTTTTTTTTTTTTTTGGGATTTTGAGAGGGGGAAAGTTGGTCAAATTCCCATTGACCAAGAAACCCATGTTCATTTTTCAGATTTATGTGAGGACCAATGAAAGTTTATTTTTATGGGTAAGTGATACCCATCTCTTAAGTGCGTAAATTAGCTTTTCCATCTAGGGGAAAGTTGTCAATACTTGGATGAGACAAAAATGTCCCTT